AAACTCGCGACGGACTACATAAATGCTGTGCTTCGCACCGCATTAAATATAATGCTAATCAAATCTCTGATGTTCACCTAATTATTTTAAATTATCTTACTATTATAATTTACAATTTATTTATACAGAATATTTCATCATCAAGTGAATCAGTAATATTAGATCGCATTGAAGTATTTATTTATTTTTTTGTTGACTAGATTAAACTTAGAAAAATGACCGAGGAAATTATTGTTAAATTTATTTTTTGATCTCATTTCGTATTTATGCACTGGCAGCACTATGTTTTCGATATAAATTATTTATCGATCTTGTCCGTAGATTTGTTCATTAAAATTTTCATAATCCAATAGAAACAATAACTTTAAACTAAAATAATGATCACATAAGAAAAAACATTTGACTTTCGATCACATCAAGATATTATCTAATCATTCTAACTCATAAATTTTAAAATAAAAAATTTCGAAAATTGTTCTTTGATAGTTTCAAAAGTCTTTCCTTTATCTATCGCCATACGAAATATCTTCTCATGCGTCGTGTTTTGTGTTATACTTTACTCTATTATCGTCCATATTGACTGGATAGTATATTTATCGAATGAAACATAAAGTTTAAAAAAACGAAAAAGATGGAGAAGAATAAAAGTCTTTCTTTTCTTATTTTATAATATTTACTGGAATTTTCAGTTCTTCTACAGATCGATGATGTCCTATTAATTAATAGATCTAGTTGACAGAGTACAACAAAGGGTGCTGCGATGTCGCTGTTGTGGAGAATTATTAAGTTTACATTAAGTATACAAAAATAATAATTTGACCTATTCTTGCAAAAAAAATCCAATCACATAGAATAGAAACATGTTTAGGACTATATATACAATGTCAAAATCAAATTCTTCTTGTTTTTAATTTCAATAGAAGAATATAGTCACTGTTTCATTCGTACAAAGAAATATATACAAAAGAATTTAATTTATTATCGAAACTATCATTCTTTAGATTTATTTGAATTACATAGATAATCATTTTCAATGAATTATTTACGTATCATTCAAAAACATTTTTTTATGATTCCTTCTATACGAAGTTCTTCCACAATAACTATTCCAGCTTTAATTGATTCTTATCCAATTCAAGCAACACTATTTGAACCAAAATCGTCTTCTTCGAATTCAATATGTGTTGTTATTTCTGAAGCAACAGGTGCTCGTCGTCAATTTTATTTTCCATTTGCGCAATATTTAAGTGAAGAACATAATTTACATGTAGTTACATATGATTATCGTGGAATACATGAACGAAAACCAACTCAATGGAATCTTGTTGAACATTGGGCTCGACGTGATTGTGCTGGAGTTTTATCATATTGTTTTTCAAAATATGATCAAGTTGTTCATATTGGTCATAGTCTTGGTGGAAATATGCATGCACTTTTACCACCTCATATAAATGAACAAATTTCACGAATACTTCTTGTTTCAGCAGCAAATTCTTATGTAATGTATCATAAATGGAATTTAGAATTTCTTCCAACATTGTTTTCACTTTATATTATTCGTGAACCACTTATTTGGCTTTATGGTTATTATCCAATGCGTACTGTATTTCGGACAGGTGTTGATATGCCATCAAATATTATTCGACAATGGGCACGATGGACATTACATCGTGAATGTTTTATTGATGATAATGGAAAATTATTAACCAAAGGTTTCGATTCAGTAAAATGTCCAGTTTTAGCTATAAATTTTGATGATGATGAATTTTATAAACGTCAAGCATTTGATATATTTACTAAACATTTTCATCAATCATCAAATGTTCAAACGTGGCGTTTACCTAAAGGTGGTCATTTTCATTTTTTTAAAGAAAAAAAATCATTCGAACTTTGGAAAGATATAGTTCGATTTTTAAAATATGGTGATACAAAACTTCCTAATGTAGTAAATAAATAGATTAATTTATTAAATAAATTTTTTGACAAAAAAGAACAAAAGAAAATTTCATTTCAATCCTAGTCAATACTACAAAATTTAAATATTACATCTTGTTTAACTAAAGATACAAGCATTTTAATCATAGTTCTTCTCAAAATAGGCACTTGTAAAAATGGATAAATAAAGAAATGATACATAATAAATATTAAAAAAACAAAAAAAAATTATATCATTTTCTATTTTGTAAATTCTCGATGATATTCTTCATGACTGAAATGAATAATTCTTTGTTGCACGTACTATTTTAATTGATGCTTGATGTTCAATAGCACAAATTATCATATGATCAAGGTAAGAATCTTTACTTGCAAAACATCGACAACATAATTGACATTTAAATATTGTCTAAAATAAAAATTTAAACAATTTTTAGAATTAAATAAAAATAAAATACCATCGATGATAAAGAATGAGAAATAATAGATGTACTAGATAATTTCGAAATTTTTGTAGTTTTTGATATTCTTGAAGAAAGTGATAGACGAACACTGTTTTCATTATCATTTAAAAGAATTTTTCTTTTTTTTGATATAATATCTTGATCAATACGTTTTCGTTTAGTTGCAATAAAACTAGAAAAACTTGAAATAAAATGATATTTTCAAGAGTATTAATGTATACTTGTTTTGTGTTATTATTGATGATAATGATTGTTGTTCAGACCTTTGTGTTGGTGGTATTCGAGTAAATAGTTGACCCATTGATCTGAATGTATTTTTGACAATGGATCGAAATAATATGACTATGTATGTATATAAATATAATAGCTGTAAGGGAAGAGAAAAATGAGACGAACGCGATTTGTCATTATCAGACTAAAGGGTCAGCATACAGTGAATTCATTGTCACAACTAAAAGAAAAAAAAAAAGAAAAAGAAACGAAGGACAAGCATTCAATCTGACCTCAGATTAAGTCGATGTTACAAGAATGAGAGAAAGAGAAACAAATGAATTGTTTTTCTTTGATTAGTGAATAAAAGAAGGGATATTTATGAATTTATTTTAAGTTCTGAAAAGTTGTTTTTTTTTATTGAAATAATTTGTATCCAAAATTAAATAGAATATTAACAATCGTATATCTGTTTTTTTGTGTTGATTATGCTTGAATTTTGTAAATAAATCGGAAAGAAAACAGTTAAGCAATTCTTTTTATCGTTGTGAAGAAGAGATAATTGTAAGAAATGAATAGAAGTGATTTCGAGTATACATGGACAATAACTGCTCTTGAGTCTTTTGTAATGCTATCTATGACGTATGATATGACAAGTTATGAATATAAAACCATTTGAAAACAATGAAAAGTATTGTTTTCTATCTCTTTTATTAAATAAATATTGTTATATAAATATGATCAATTTATAAACATTTCATATGTTTTTTATTGATCTTTATTTTTATGAACAATTGTATCATCATCATAAATCGATGGTTGAAATGAATCGTGGTCATATGTCAAGTCATCTCTTGTATTTATCAACTACTTTAATTAGTGCACGTTTATATCTAGATTCACTTGTACGCATATCTCTATCCTGTTAGTCTAGGGTCAAGCAAAACAAGTCTCGATGAACGTTACTTGTTTTCTAGAAGTTCCTAAATAGTTTCTTGAAACTCATGATCAATATTTTTCATCTACGTTTTATAAGCGAAATTAGAATCTTATATTGGTTAGACACTCATCAGTCAGAACTGCAATTCGAGTTTTTGTCTGAGCAGGGTAAGAACTTGACTAGTGATAAATTCATATGTACAATCATAGCAATTAAAATGTGAACAAAAAAAAAGTATTCCTTTTATACAAAACTATCTTCTCATATTCATTATACAATTTACAAGACAATATTATAATCTATTCACTCGTATTTGTACAATCATGCCTTTTCAAATGATATTTTGGTGAACAGAAGACTCAGTATTTTATACGAACATTGTTTCTTAACGCACTCGTCTTTACAGTTGCAAGTGCGACTGTTTGTTGAATTATTCTATTGTAACGTGTATATCTATATTCATACTACTTGTCGATACAAACTCTATGATTACAGGTTTTTCTATTCTTTTCTTTATTCTATTCTACTTCCAGTAAGACTTGTACTTGTATGAATTCATCTCTAATTGAAATCTAGCTACACTCACACTCTCTTTTGCTAGTGCATCAATTATTTCCTGATCTACATGAATAGTCAAAAATTGTGCATGTAGCATTATTCTTTGGTGTTTATATCTATGAGTTCTGTATAAATATGATTCACAACAATAGTATGTACCAAATATTTCATACGTAAAAGAATTTGGTGTCATTTGTTTATTAAAATTCGTGCAAGTGATTTCGATACTGATTTTTCATCACATACACTGTTCTAAAACAATACTATAAGATCATGTAAGTTTTCGATATGCTAAATAAAAATGATTATTTGTACCCATGAATCGATCACAACATGACACATTTTCTTCAATTGGTGGTTCATCAACAAATAATAAATTAAGTGAAAGAAAGATGTCCATAAACAAGGACTGTGTAATATTTTTAGAAGTGAGAAAACGGGTACTCGTTAAACGAGTAGAATACAGATATCCATTTATACTTCGAAGATTGATCTTGCCAAAAAAATATATTAAATATAAAATAAATAATCTAAATCAAGTTGATGAGAATATCAAATGTTATTTATCTTTTGTGCTAAACTTTTTCTTCATTGTTCCGTTTGTTCTTCAGACAGGGATGGTTCTTGCTTGAAAAATTTATGTTTCACGTATATTAAAATATTTTTTAATTTGTTGTGTGATGTTTACTTGTGATGAAGCTTTAAAAGTATGTATTGGAGCTAGATCATTATTAATAAGAATATAATTTTTTGATTCATATACATCCTGAATATCATTATTAGATGATGGATATCAGTTTGAAAGAAACTCACATTGTTGATAGAGGCAAACGGAGGAGATAAGAGGGTAGGATCAATCGAAATCCTTAAGAGGATTCCTACCATATTGGTTTGTGCTGAGGCATTTGTGGTAAAACCAAGGAAAACCTCTCGGTTTTTACTAGCGGACAAAAAGTTGTTAAAGGAGAACAGATCACCTTTTGTTTTCTGGAGTTTCTCCAAGTTAGACTTTGATAACCTTTGCCCACGGTAAACCATAAAAGGCTTGTGTTTAGAGCCTCTGAACTGTTCTTTATATAATTCTTCAATTTGGCAATGAAACTTACGAATAACGAAACCCAATTTCATTACTGTTTCGACCTCCAAAGTTTGAAGAGACCAATTAAGTATTTGGTAGATAAAATACTCACGAATGTACCACAAAATCAATGATTGTGGCGAATATAATCACGTTCGAACTCAGCGATGCGCTTTAACGTAACGGCATTATGGGAACATTCATCGCGCTAAAATCGAGTAAAATCTTTGATGGTTTGTTCGTTATGGTCGATTTCAAGTAGGATTTCCTTGAGTATTCGAGTATCCATAAATGAAGGCTTCCGTTGATTCAGGTTTTTCCTGGAGTCTCCATCATTCATAGTGACAAAACTGACTGAGATGGAATCCTGATTGCATCTCTTCATGGCCAACTGCACTGTTTCGCAGATGAACTTGGCTGTTGTTTGTAAACCCTTCATTTGGGCCCAATTGTTTGCTCATGCTGGATGTTGATGTTCATCTCCAGAAATGATGTAAATGCTATAATCAAGATGGGCCATATCATGGATACGAGACATCACATGTTCACTCATAACATACGCTAGAATCAGAACAATCTTGACATCATGACGTTCAGTGAGAAAATCAGCACATTTATATGGTTGGCTGAAAATATTGATGTCGTTAATAACACTGCGTAATTGTTCGAATATGTCTCGACCAACTTGACCTTCTTGATCATTATTACTACCCAATCATATGAGGACAAACTTTTGAACTATGCGGCGTCTTGATTGAACGGTTTGAGATAACATTGTTGTATTTAGAGCAACGCCCGTTGTTGATATAGAAATTGTTTGTGTGAATTTTCGTTCATTCATATTGATATGAATTGTCATTCGATCATCAATCGAACATGGCTAACAAATGTTTGTCATTTAGGCAGAGATTATCTTTTCTATTTAATTTCTGAGCAGTATGAGACTTGGTGTTTTTTAACGGACACTCGACGAAAAACTTCATTTAATTGCAGTTAAAAGTACGGTTGTGAACAACAAACAAACAAACGAGAAAAAACCCCAATACTTGATTTATTTTATTGTTATTCTTTCCAAATTTGATTTGCATTTCATCTGCAAAATGATCTGAGTCTCTATGTGTGCTAAGTCCTTTCTCAATCAAAGACTACTGAACGAAGAACATTACTAATTTTTTCGTCAATTCTTTCAAAACGACTTTTGCTCTTCGTAGTAAGAAGGAAGCAAAACATAGTTAATTTGATTTTTTTCATTACTCATATGATTACCATTCTGATTATGTGAACAATCCGAAACGAGAGGTAAATTTAATTTTGATCCTAATAACATTAAAAGAACGTCGTTTACCCATGAAATATATATGTTGATAATTAGCAAATGATTCAAGTGAAGAATACTCTTCTCATTATACTTTACAACCATAAATATCTGTTCCATGTCAAAGTTGCTGAGATTGACACTGGAAATGTGTCTTTACTCTGACTCTAGTTAAAGAAACGGATTGAGCAGAATTAACGATCGACTTCACATTTTCTCAATAGGTTGGTAAGCTTTCATTCATTCGGGTTCCAGTCACTTTCTAAAAGATTCAACTTTCAATTCTTCATAAAACCGTGCATAAAATTTTTCTTCAGTTTCAGAACGGAAAATATTAGTGAAAAAATATTGAAAACATAAAATGTGTAACAATATTTGCATTTCTCATATAGATGATAAAATCTGTCTATTAACATCAGTGAGTTGTATCGATCTATCATGAATAATTACGATCTTACTATTTCAAAACTGGTATAACACATATCAACCTTCTTTTCTCGATAAAGATCAATATTTTCTAAACAAAGCTAAAGTCAAGTAAAAATTGTTCATTCGAATGAATCTTATAATAATTTCTTGGTAATACATACTAGATTAATTGTTCACCATTATAAACACTTAATAGGATGGAGTGAATTTGAAATGAAGCAAAGTTTTGCCTTAAAACCAAATAAAAATGATATTATTTCAATTAAATTTGCCCATCCTAAACAATTCACTTAATTCTCTTCGCTAACTGAACTTCATCTTTGTTTATCAAGTAAATCAAGAGATTTCCAGTCATCCATGTTTTCAATACTTTTTTTTCAAGTCTCTTTATGAAACTATCGAAATTCAAAGCAAGAGCCTGTCCACGCAAAACATTATTCCGTCACGGTTTGTTTGTTTCTTTGCATACAAACGACTCAATGTTTAAGATCAAATGTTTTTGCAGCTTTGGACAAAAAATTGTGCTTTTCAAAATGAGAAATTGCAAAACTGTCCACGACTCCTCATTCACTATAAACAGTGCGTGATATAATAACACCTTCCGTGGACAGGCTCACAACATACTTAAAAATGAAGCCGAATAACAGAACTTCATCTTTTGATCACAAATTTATTCGAAATATAAACTGTTTCATCATTTCCAGCTTTGTGTGGCCTCTTTACTTTTACTTGTAGTTCTTGAATGCAATTTGTGTTTATTCAATTTTTTCCTACCAATAAAATCATTTATAGTTTCATAAAAGTATCCATATTTTCTCTAATAAATAATTGAATCACATCAATGCCAATTTTCTCCTGTTTTTTATCCCCATGAATGTTCTATTCGCTCATTAATAGAAATTTCGAACTCAGCATCAACCACAACCATGGTCTGACGTCCTTGTTGCTATACTTTACTGTATTATGATAGTTATGATGACAAACTTGGTGTACGGTAAACGGTATGTTATTTTTATTAATTCTTCTTCTTCAATATCATCTTAGGATTTCAGATTAGTAGAAGACGAAAGACAGTCTTTTAAAGCAACAAATCACTATTTATAACATACAATATATTATTCATTGGAAGTAATTGTATATTCTTATAACTTTTGAATTGTTACTCATAGACATATGAATCATGAAATGCTATTGAAGTATTTTTTCATTATTAATTTTACTTTATTTAAACTGATGAATTACCAATGACTATCCATCAGACGAATATATTGATTTTATATTATGAAATAAATGTGTTGAAATCTCTGACACGCAAGTTGAACATCAATAAAAAAAATTACTAATCAAAATATTGAGCGATATTTTGGTCTTTTATCTTCAATCAATATAGGATTATGATGAAAATCTATGGAAAATCGTTAACAAACAATGCATGAACAAGTATAAAAATAACTGGTACAACTGCAGAAGAACAACACCCCCCCCCCCCCCCCTTTCTTTATCATATACAGAGCAGGAAAAAAAATTTATTGGCGCATCTGCTTCACCAGTATCTGAGGGAAAATAGAAAGTCAAATATAAATGCCATATAAGCACAGTTCATTGATGTTGACACTCATAAGAGAAGTAATGTATCAAAGCTCTTTGAATCTATTAATTAAGAGGATGTTTGAACAATTGCATATAGAGAATTCTATGACGAAGAGAAATAAGAAGAAATAAAAAGGAAAGATGCTGTGATAATGCATAAAAGAACCACTAAATAAAAATAAAAAAGATGATTTTTTTAAAGAAGACGTCTAGTAATTTCTCTGGATGAGGAGCAAATCATGTATAAGACTGATCTTTTTATTGCACTTCTCTAAAAAAAAATCATTAGTATACAATTGCAAGTTAAAGTGAAGTAGAATGGATATTCATATTGAAGACCTTGATAATTTGAACACAAGAAAAATTCATGAGTTAATTATGACACAAGATATGTTACAGGTACAACAATACATTCAGATGAATGGAAAGCGTACATACCTCTAGGAAATTATGTCAATTATATTCATTTGACTGTTAATCATTCCGTCGCTTTTGTAGATCCAACAACCGGCGTGCATACACAAAATATAGAAAATACGTGGATGCGAGTAAAGAGAAAACAAAAAAACAAAGTGGAATACGTCGAACTTTATTATTAACTTATTTAGAGAAGTTTATGTGGAAACAGGAATTTGGAGATAAACCATTTACAAATTTAGTATTACAAATCAATGCATTGTATCCTGTTCTCTAATTTTTTTTTCAATAACATTCTCTTATTCTTCTCTGACATCTATATTAGACTTTTTATTTTTCCTTAGATAGTGGTTGAAGAGATACGCCAATAGATTTTTTCCTGTTCTGTATTCGATGAACGAAGGGGAGGGGTTGGTGTGTCGTTCTTCTGCAGTTGTACCGAATGTGCAATCGCTCTATTAGAAAAACAAATGAATATTTTACTTTATCCGTCTGTATGTTTTTTTGTGCAGTTTTAAGAAACAAATTTAGTAAAACTGTGTAAAAATAACTATAAAAAAGTCGTTTGTATGTATTAAAATGTACTTCAATGATTTGTGAAGACTTGAAGTCATCAATAAAAGAATACTGATGATGTGTCACAAATTAAAAAAAAATAATTTTGTCTTTTATGATTTTGAATCGATGTTTCTTTAGATGAGTACATATTCTGTTTATTCGTCGAATATTTTGACAGTTAAAAATTTTCCATTATTATTCAATAATAACGATCGACAAGAATTTTTAGAACATTTTGGTGCTATTCGTATACGTTGTTTACCTCGATTTAAAAATATATCAAATCTTATTATTGCTGATTTTGGTTCAAATTCACAAGCTTCTCAAGCACTCAGACGTTTACATCAACTTGAAATACTTGCTCGTCGATTAGTTGTAGAATATTGTCCATTAGAATTAGCTCATTTCGCTTTTTCTTCTTCTTCACATTCATATGATGATAATGAAATTGCTTTATTACATGGTATTTCACCAGGTATAAATCAAATTTATTATTCATTACCATCAGAAAGACTCGCATATATTTATCCACCTATTGATGATACAATTTTAATGAATATTAATAATACTCTTTTATCGGTACCTTCATTTTATACTCAAGTTCTACATCTTATGAATAAAATGTCACTTCCATGTCCGATGATTGCTGGTAACAAAAGAAAACCACAAGAGATATTTCTTTTTTTAATGTGTTTGTCTTTAATGGATTTATTTGATAGATTCGACTAGAACCTCTCGAACTTTATCAAAAATTAGTGTTGCATGTCAAACAGATGAAAGTGCTTTGTCTAAAGTAATTAATATGGATACAGATGAAGATGAAAGTGAAATAGATGATGGAGAAGAAGAACAACGTGTAAAACGTCGTCATCGATCAGTTTTACGAGCATCAATTCGTCAAGGAATAGTACCAACAACACAAATGAATATTAATATTGATACAGAGAAAAAGAAAAAGCCAACAATCGAATTGAAACTACCTCAAACATTTAATCCATCACGTGTATGTTATTTTCGATAAGAAATTCTCTGTAAAACGAAAAATTCTAATGAATCTCTCACATAAAATATATTTTTAAATTTAGATGGAAGTTACTAGTTCAATACCAATGGATACCACAATGCATGGCTTTGGTCGATTAGAACCAATTCAATCAACTATAACGACTCTTAATATTGTTAATCAAGAGAAAGAACAAGTTCTACCACTTCCTTTAATTCCGCTTGATGAAATAAGCAAAAATCGTTTGAATGAAGATCAATTACGTCTGATTGATAATGGCCGTCTATATCGAAACTATGAACGTGGTCAACCATCACAACGTCTTTATATAAAAAATCTTAATACAAAACATGTTGACGAACGTATATTACATTCCATCTATGATCATTATAAACATAATTCTTTTGATATTGATATACGTTTAATGCGTGAAGGTAAAATGAAAGGTCAAGCATTTGTAACATTTCCTAATGAAGATATGGCTTTACAAGCATTAAGTGATACAAATGGTTTTGTTCTATATGAAAAACCAATGATTGTACAGTTTGCTAGAACAGCAAAACCAAAAGACATTGTTTAGAGAATTATATTTGTTGTATTTGTTTTTAAATTCATATAAGATTAGAAAACAAAATATACGAGAATTTATTTTTATTGTTATGAATTTGTGTTTGTTATTTTTACTTTAATGAAATATTAAACCTACTTTGCAGACTAGAAAATGAGATGTATTAATTGGATAAATGGTCTTATTGGTGGTCTTTTGATATCATCATGCTGTTTAATTCAATTAGTTTTAAATCTATTTGGAATTGGTTGTGCTGGATTGAATACTCTTCTTCTACCATATCGACCATTGTTTATATCATTGACCATTATTACATTAACTTATTCATTTTTTCGTTATCGTCCATCAAAATGGCATTTTACTTCGGTTGTTATTCTTACATTAATTCTTTCATTTTCACCTGAGCTTCTTCGAATTTATAATAATCAATTTACTAGAAATGATATTATAGATAATCAAGTTATTATCACACATTGGAAAATAATAGGGATGCATTGTGAAGCTTGTCGTTCAGCTGTCATTCAATCATTAAGAAAACTTGATGGAGTTCTTAGTGTAAATGTTGATCTTGAAACGGGTCAAGCTAAATTGGTTTCAAGTAGTAATATAAATACAGATACTGTCATTCAAACTGTAGAATCAGCTGGTTTTCAAGCTAAGAAACTTACTTGAAGAGATTGGAAAATTATATTTATAAAACAAAAATAATTTTAATGGAAATAAAATTAACGTTTTCTGTGCAATAAGAAAAAAAATCACAATATAGACAGATGATTATCTGACAGACACTTGAATTTTCATTTTTATTCTTTATTATTTCATACATCAATCAAAACATCAAATATATCACGGACATGTAAGGTGTGATAACAACTAAACTAATATATGTTGAATATACTGAATCTGTACGTTAATAAAACTACAAAGTTTCTATACAGAAAGTCATAAAATAAACGAGAAGAAGAACAGTTTTCCCACAGCTTATTTAATTTAAATAGATTGATATTCATGCTGAGTGATTTCTTTTAACAACAAACGAAAAGAATAAGTCAAACAATAATTATATTACAAAAATCCATCATATAGATATTTTCACTTACAAAAGAGATATCATAGAAAACACCTGAATCGAAATAACAACATTATCATTGTACAGTTTTGATAAAATCTGACTACTAGTGACCTCTTGCGTTTTGATCGAACAGTTTTCGCTGTAGTGGTTCTTTATCGAATTCTGAATGGCATAGTGTGGGTATCGTTCGTCTCGAGTCATTGTACAATGTATGATTAATGGGTTTGTACAACCAACGCCTACAACCTTCGCTTTTGATTTTTTCATGCATGTAATAACCAACTAACAAAATGTAGTAGTTGCTTCTCGTGTGCATATGTCATTCGTCGTGAAGACAGTTTAAACAAAAAAAACACATTATTCTTTGATCGGAAACTAGTGACGCGTGTTTATATGTATGATACTATATTATGAAAGCTGTTGCATTTTAGAAAGTTGAGTTATTTTGACAGCTGTTGCTTTTGATTTTTTTTTCATTTCTTCATTGATTTGTTTTGTACCTTTTGGATACTATCCAAATAATTTTTAATATGTTTTAGATTATGTTATATTGGTTATTCTTTTCCTTTTTATTATTTTAAAATATTGAAATATTTTACTGATTGGGTGATACTTAAGCACCATTCTTCGACTGTTATTTTTGTTCTGTTTATCCCAAGCAATGAAACAAGCTGTGTTGATTTGAGTGTATTTTTACAATAATGGCAACGATACACCTGGTCTTAGCACGCGGTATTTCACGACTTTTATTACTACTTTTACTTAGCGGTCATCTTCTTATAAATAAACATGATTCATGTTTGGCTCTTCGATTCAGATCTGGTAGGTTGACATATTTGTTTTCTTTTACCTTAATATTAAACACACTAGCCTCCAATATTGCTCGATAAGTATGGTAATTATATTATTTCTCCTTCCTTTTTTTTTCGCTTATTTATTATTTACTCTTTCGAAAAACAATTATATAGTGATAGTGACAACATTCACTAACATTAATATTGCTTTAGAAAATATAGTGACTTGTCATCGATAATCAAAATATTTTTTGTATTGAATAGCTAAGGATTTTCTTGTATTTCTATATACAATCATAAATCCCAATAAGCATACAAAGAAAAAGAAAAGCTAATAGAAGGTGCAAAGAAAAGAAAGAAAGAAACGTCATTAATTGGAGTTGTCAACGCTTTCTTGAATGAGATCGGAATCTAGTGGGTGGTTGAAGCCAATAAATAAAAAAAAAATGACAGAAAAAAAAACATACATATGCGTAAAAATTATCCCATTGATTGACATATCCTTCAAGTCTTATCGATTTGAGGTCGAAGAAAAGTATACAATAAAAATAATCATTTTCTTTATATACTATATTCACATATGAATTTAAGCCAAAGAAATTAAAGCATTACCATGTAAAACTAAGCGCTTCGAGCAAAAAGAAATATATTCTTGGATCATCCCATTCAATTAAATTTAATGCTGCTTGTTTTTTTTTTCTTTTTGTTATCCGATGATGTCATCATTGATCGACTGATAATCTAATTCCATTCGTTGCCTGCTATCATCATCGTTATTGTACGATGAGTATTACTCTATTGAAGTATGAGCTTGAGTGTTAGAAAATCAAGCGGCATTTTTTTTGTCTATGACTACACTGTCTTCTATTGCTTGTCTGGTTTTCTTTCCTCCATAATCAATAGAGATGCATGGGTAATTTTTTTTTCTTGTAACATAGTTTTTTTTTTTTCTATGAACGTTCTCTTCGCCACTCAAGATGAAAATAGAGAATGAAAAAGCGATAAAAGAGAAGAAAAACAGAAATTCTTTTTATAGAATAGAGTTCGAACAAAACAAGAACTCTATCACTACCGGCATACATCGGTCCACACGCTGGTAATGATGATGGGGTGTTTTGTATGCGTGTGAATCGACATACAGGCATGCAACTTTAATGGTCAGAAGAATTACACTCGGCATAATAACTTCTAGAAGTTTTAATAAACATATACAAAACCAAAAAAAAACTGATGAAAATGTTTGTGAATAACAATTTTGTTCTTTTATTCCTTATTGTAATAATAACAATCGACGCTTCGCGTATATTTTATCTCCCCCTACCTAAAATACATCCATTACATCATGAATCTAAAGCATCGGCAATCCTACAAGAATCAGCAATGACACCACATGAAGAAAAACCAATCAGTGATGAATTTATACCATTATCGGCAATTGAACGTAATATATACGAGGAACAAGAAGAAAGTAAAAGTAATATTTTCATATATTTATATGATGACATAGAACTTTTCTGTTGTTTAAATATTTTAAACAGAAAAAAAAGAATTAAGAATTTGTTTGACGTAAACATCGATAAGTAAAAATAAAGCAAAAAAGTTTCGAACTGTATTCTATTTAGAATTTATCTCTATGAATACATTACAGATGACTGGTTTTGTTTCCGTTCATTTTATTATGCACCAGCTTAGTGAATCGGAAAAGAATATCTTTAGTAATAACACTATAACTGGTGTGTCCTTGACTAGTTAAAGAAAGGGTTAAGAAGTGAAAAATGATCGTCTACTTCGTGTAGTCATTATTAGCTTTCGTTTTGTATGTTTTATAAGTATTTATCTAGCATAAATAAGTATACTCTTCTATGCAAACTAATATTTATTTTACTAGAACAAGACACCTTCGATTGGGAAGCATTACTCGATGAAGAATTAGCAGCAGCAATAGCAGCATCAGCAGCAAGACATCGTACTGCCGTTAATGAACATTCACGTAGTATTATTTCAACTATTTGTTTTATCACGAAATTTATTTTTTTTTATTTACTTTATCGTAGATGAAAATGAATTGGATTATTTGGCATCATTAGATCGAGCAACACGAAAACCAACTAAGTTAAAAATAAGCGATAATGATATGGGTAGAGCAGTTGACAAACTTTCTCAACCCAATGAAAATCGCGCTTTTGATGAACCATGGATGATTGATAGTGCTACTAGTCGAGTAGAACGTTTACAATCGAAAACAACTTCTGATGATGCTGAGCGAAAAAAACGACGGAATGATGCATTGTTTCTTAGTAAGTTCTTATTAATATACTTGTATTTACATGGAATATAAGTTCTTTTTGAGCAATTAAATAAGATTGTATTTATCCTATGATTCTTTTTTTGTTATTACAGGAAGTTTATTATATATAAAGATTGTTTTTCAAAAAGGATATAATTTCTATTAAACGAAAATTAAAAACTACAAATGTAGATCAAATAACACACCACATTTGTATGTTTCTATTTAAGTTCATTAAACAAAAACAAATTCTGTCTAACAAATCATATAAATACAGAATTAACATAACAATGATTTTCACATAAGATAAATCTGTAACTTGATATTTTTACTCGATGAATTACAGTCTTAATCTATGATTTTTTTTCCTTGGAATGTAGAAATTCATTATCTCTTTTGATTTTTAACTTCTATTGTTTTCATAGTAATCGTTGGCACGAGCAGTTTAGTTGGCGTTTTGGGTCTTGTTGCAGCAGCAATTTTCTGGTTCATGTAAGTATTTGATTTTAATTTATAAACAAGTAAACTTTATGTTCTATCGATATATCTCAAAATTTTGAGATCTTACATTTTTATCGAAACCATTACGTTATATATCACATTCATTTTTATTGTATTCTTTAATTGCTTTTCACAAAATTAAGTAAGTTGTGCGTAAGTATGAGAGTATAAATGAAGGTTATTAAGATTAATAAAAGCTGCATATTATTTTCTTTGTAATATTTTCTCTTGCTATAAAAAGAAAATCTCTATTTCTTTTCTTATCTCAGCAATATAAGATCTAGGAAAATTACAATTTAATTCATGTTAGTACGGTCAATTAAGAATATATTTTAACACAATTTTTTCTTCTTGCACAATACAAAAGTTTACTTGTTTTCTATATTTGATCTTTTACATGGCATGATTTTGAATAGAAACCTAATTGATTATGTTTCTTTTTTTTTCAACGGACATGACATTTCTTCTACTTGTAAATTATTTATTAGAGAATAGCACATACTACAAAAGAGAATCATTTTGAAGAACACAAAAAGAAAACAAGGAGAAAAGTCTATTTGCTTTTTCCAACAATTAAGAACATATTGCAGATGAAAGTTGATTCTATGATATAGGAGAAATATCATGCGCACATGACTTTCTTCAAAAATGTTAATGACTATAACCTCTTTACAATGTGCATATGATAATAGAAATTTTAATAAGTGATACTATTTTTAAAGTTAATAGTAGCCTTGTGCGAGGTTTTTGCATATAATCTCCAATCGTGGAGGTTTCTCTTCGGATCTGATATTAGACACCAATGTCAAATATGGTTTGTTTGGTTGATAGGATTCACAGGAGAGCTCAAACAGCAATTGATGTTGAATATCCATCATATGGAGTAACTGGACCTAGTAGTACTAGTGGTAAAAAGATCTCACCAAGTACAAGTGTATCGGATCGAAAATTAGCTCAAAGTGCACAAATGTTTCATTATCAACAACAGCGACAACAAATATTGGCCCAAGAAAAGTATGTTTTTTTGTTTCATATAATTTTTTTTTGCTTTATATTGTAATTTATTGTTTTTTTAATAGAACTCACTTCGATGCAAAACCTGTTCATTCAGATGATTCTGATGATGAAGCACCTGGTGGTGGTGGAGATTATACAGTCTATGAATGTCCTGGTCTAGCTCCAGTACGTTAATTTAATTAATTTTTCGCACTTTATATTAAAATTCATGATGAGATTTTATGCTAGATATACGTTAACCTTAACCAGATTTATTTTAAAATGAGGAAATTATGGAAGATCAGAATTTCAACCCAGTTTTAAATTGACCTCATTAACCTCTCTAAAAAGTATTGTTTCTTTGATTAAGACCTCCCCCCCCCCCTTCTCAAAAAAAGTCACTTCTCGTCAGAACCATCGATATTGAGATTAATGCATAGGAAGATAGCCCGTCATCTGATCTTTCATAAATGACAAAAATTTTTTATCCGCACCTCGTTTTTTCCAAAAATTTTTGAAGATTTCCGTTATCCCCTATTCGAAAAATAAGCCATTTTTGGAAAAAACCGAAAATCTTTTTTCTTTTTTTCTCAGTTTATGATTTTTTGATCTTTTGTCCAAAATTTCTCGGTTCAGGCTCTTTCAATATATTCAAATTTTTTTTGTTTGAAACAGCATGTCCAAATGTAGGGCCCCACAGAGTCTTTTTTTTAATTAAGCTTTATTTTTGATTATATATACAGACATTTATGTAGCTAGATACCCATTTTTTGGTGCGTCTTTTGAGTCATTGAACTTGTGATCACCTATCTCCGCTAAAAAAGTAAGAATTAAAAACAAACGACTCTGTAGTGCCCTGCATCCTGACATGCTCTTTCTAACAAAAAAAATTAAATATATTGAATGAGCCTGCAGCGAGAAATCTTGGACACAAAATGAGCTATTTTTGACCCTTGTTTGGTTCATATCTCTGTCAAACGTCATGGTTTCGAGCTGAAAATTTTACCATAGCCCCAACATATCCCGAAAATTTCACGTGATTTGAATGTACTTGGCCCGGAAATCGATTTTTGAGGGGGGAAGACCTTAATTGCTATATTCCGTAGTGCTAAGGAGTATACATTTTCATTGAAACGTAGTGCTCAACCACTTGGCATAGTTCTAGCATGTGGATGAGGTTGTGTTAGATATGAGCGCATAGTTTGTGATTATAATTGTGGATGAAGAGAAAGCCTACGCTAACATCCACTTCCTCGTCCTGCTCAGCACAACGGATTGTAGCAAGTAAGTAAAGAAATAACATTTTTTATAGAGTTTAATGAGTTCAAATTAAGCGTGAACCGAAATTTTAGTGGCTAAAAAATTATTCTCTATCGATACTATGCTTAAAGTCTTTGATCTATGTTAATGAGATAATTTTTATCTTTGTAGACGGGTGAAATGGAAGTGCGTAATCCACTGTTTGCTGAACCAGATTCATCGTTAACTTCATCAACATCTGCTTCACATCCAACAACTAATAATCATTATCCTCAACCATCAACAACGACTTCATCATCGTCACCACCCAAAGAAAAATTATTATCATAAGATGATCTATCACATTCAATATCTCTTACTATTTGTTTTGGTCGATCGGTTCCGCTCTGTTTATTTTCTTTCCCTTTTATTCTTATCTTGTCAGGCAATTTTATGAAATGTATATGGAGAAAAGTTTCCATAATAATCTTTATTTTTTGTCTATGAATAATTGAAACAGTGACTAATTTTCTTTTTTTCCTGCTTTAACAAAGAAAACAAATTATAATAAAGTGAAGCATCCATCATACTAGATTAATTAACTATTTTCATCGAATCAATATTTTTGTTATCTATGATAGCATCTATATTATGTTTTGTCCATTGTTGAAGTAGTTTAGTAGTGGTTGATGCTGTTTTTTCAGATAGTTGAAAAGTGTTTATGAGAAAAGTATAAAATTCTTCAGGAGTATCATGAATTAGAAAACGACCAAGTAAATCTTGCATCGTATGAATATTTATCAATTTTAATTGTTTGATATCATAAACATTTACATCTAAAATGAAAGAAAAAAAAATAATCGGATATATATCTGTTAAATAGTTCTATTTATTATTTGTTTTTTTTCCACATTCTTCAAACCATCAATTTTTATGTTAGTTTACATATAAGATTTGGTCTAGAATGGCATCCACCTGTTTTGTGTTTATCTATTAAGTTTGCTATTAAAGTGTTTTTATAAAAATTTGATAAAAAATCAGTCGGATTGTTTGTTAGCGTCAATAATGAAAAAAGTTCGAATGGCCTAAGTGAATAGGAAGCTTTCAAAACGATAATGTATCATACTCACTAAAAGATAAAAACACATTAAGTGATGGTAGGATTAAGAAGTTGGTTTCATGTAAGGGAATTTTTCATCTATATATTTTTTCTAAAATTACAAATGTAGAAACTGTATAAATAAATCCTTTTTACAGAATCAATTTAATTATAATCGACACCTTAATTATAACAGTTGTTAAGCTCTATTCCTAGAGATTTTTATAATAAAAATATATAACAAATGTTGAAAAGTTAAGAGAATGGATCTAATCGTTGATAGGATCATTCTTTCTAAGACATCGTTTGCTTTATTGCCTCATTTCACACTCATTTGTTAAATTTATAAATTAAATTGTAATCAATGTTGATTAAAAATTATCCTGATAATAAATCGATCTAATTCAAATATCAGTGAACTTTATTGTGAGTAGGATTATATACAAATTCACTGTAAACTTAAGTCTGTGTAAGTTTAACAACAAAATACGTTAATATGGCAACGGACACTACAAGTATATATATATATATGTATATGTGAAGTTGCATGTTGCGTAATCAAATATTCTTTTGTGGTTTTTGAAAAAAAAACCTTGTTCACAGGTTTTAGCCTCTTTAACAAAATATCGTTAGCTTATTGAGTCTGATAGTATTAACAAAAGTCTTGAAGAGCTTATCTATCGTCTCTAGTTGAAGTAATATCATCAAAAGGTATAATCTGGAAATTTTATACCTCAAATATGAAAGCGTATAACGACAACAATTCATACACCTTTAGAGAAGATTGATTTTGTACACTTATCGATGACATTCTACAGACTAATATTTGATTAGAAATTATATATGAAAAAAAAAATTTGTTTAGATTTATCAACAATGTGTTGTGTTTTTTCTTCTTCTTTCTATTAAACTGAGACAATACTGTACTTGGTAATTCATCAATACTTCGATTGCATAAATGAGCATAATGAAAATTGTCTTCTGTCAATGATTCAAAATGTAAATGATGACTTTTATTTTGATTTTCATTAGTAAATGATTCGAACTGTGATACTGTCGGTGTTTGACATTTACTATCGTTTATATTTAACGAGATGGATGCATCTGTAGATAATTGTTTATTTTTATTTGTTTTTTCAATCGCAATAGATTCAATACAAATATCTTCCATGATTTGTTTTCGTTTTTGTAGAATATTATTAATAGAAATAAGTGCAGCACACATATTATTTAAAGGATCCATATTATTAACTAATATAAATTTCAAATCTATTCTTTAATATGAAATAAAACGATGGATACGAGAAAAAAAAATGTTCACACACACACACACACACACACACACACAGAATACGCGCGTATTTCATAGATAATTCGTTTTAAATAGTTGAATGGCGTGGTTTAGCACAGAAACCAACTGTATGCTTATTACACAAGTTTTCATAGCAGCACAAATAATATTTTGCATCACACTTGAGGCGTTTGTCAAAGATTTCGCCAAATCCGAAACCTCCACGGGCGACAGCAATACCTGTTTTTGGATCGAATTTCTGTTAAATATACAATAAACAAACAATAATAATTCAATAGTAAAAGCGAAAGAACAAGGAATTCTATTGGTTTTTTTCTACATACCGTATAACAATATAAATTCTTGGCACCAAAAGCACCAGAAGTACGAATTTCAGATCCTTCAAGATTTTGTGGTCTGCATTGTTCTTCACCTTTACATTGATAACATGCTTTTACTTCTCTCTCTGGTGTTATTTTTTCTATAAAACAAAAGAAATTCTTTGTTTGTTCTGGAAAATAAAGTAATAATATAGTGAATAATCACCTGGTGGAGGGCAAGGTGCTTTCATATGTTTGTTGCAAAAGGGTGTTCTGCAGCATGTATGAAATCGATCACGACATTTGACGTTTTTGTCAAATGTTTCACCAAGTCCATATGCATCTCGTTTAATGACGGCACCTGATTCATTGAATTTCTTTACAAATAAAAAAAAAGAAAATTAAATTAATAGTTCTAAGTTATCATCTTTTGTTTTATATAGATAATTCAAAAACATTCTCGATTATTTCAATCAACAATAAATAGCCAAGAATTAATATCATGAGGATCAATGTCATTTTTATACAGGTGTAAAAAATGAATACTGACAAGAAGAAAGAACACTTTTCTGTTTCGGATACTGTATGGTATAGAGTACTGTCTAGAGACAGAGTCATTAGTCCCATATCACCCTTAACGCTATTACTAACTATAGTTTCGAATAAAAGACTAGCTTGACTCAGAGTTCTTCATATAAAATGATTAACTACATACTAATCGTTAGAAACGATGTGTGTTATTATGTAGTCAACGTGCTATCGAATAAGAAATTCAAAACAAACAATTGTTTATGACTTGTCTAGGGTCATTCCATGGGTATGATGCTGAAATATAAACACAATTGTAAGACAACGTAACCACTTAATCATAGAAATAAATATGAATGTTAATACTTTTTGTGATATGATTTAGAAAATAATATTACCGTATAGCATGTTAAAACAGCAGCACCAAATGCTCTTGAAGTCTTTGTAGCATATTTGTCAAACGGAACACCACTACATTTTGTTATCTTTTCACCCCAAAATTTGAATTTGCCAGATGGATGTAATTCGTCACATCGATAACAAATTTTACCTTCACTTAAATCCAATTGGATTAACGCTACTGTAAATATAATTTTAAATTTTCTAAGGGTTTTTTTTTCTTTTGGTATTTATATTTTAGCTTACTGTAGAAAATGATAGTAAGAAAAATAAGCTTAGATACCATTTTGTCGTAAACAACCATATACCAGTCCACACTCGAGTTAAACACTAGTGGCAATGAAAAAGAGATATAGTTGACTAGAATAATATATTTTTTCTTTGAGGCAATGCCGATATCTGCCTACATATGATAGACATCTAGGCTCTGGAATCAGTTCTGTACTGAATATATATCATATCAACATTAGGCACTCTATGATGTATGTCCTTTAGTAGATGGTTGGGAAGGAAAAACCACGATGACAGATAATAGATTAGTTTCGTCGTCCACATATCATATAACAAAATACCGAAGAGTTATTTATGTTAGCCTATATTAATCTTGTCTTTTTCAGTTATCTTCACGCTGAGTGAAAAAAAAACAAATAGATAATACAGAGAGAAAAAGAACAATAATAAAAAGTCCAAAATGCAGTTCATGATGTCACTTAAAATGAAAACTAGCTCTTGCAACGAATAAAAATACATAGTAATTAAAAAATATAAATATAACATGTGCTTATACTTGAAAAAGAAAACGTATATCATCGAACTTGTGTCCTCGAAATGTACTTTTGCGGTTTCGCACGGACTTAGAGGACGCAAAAAAGAGTTCATAAACTGTGAACTCCCTTTTAGATTCGACAAGTCCGTATGAAGTATCAAAGATTCTTGTCATTAATACAAAGTCGGTCATATACCTTTTGTTTATAGTATGGGCATTAATAAGATTCTATACAATAAACAACAGATACTATAAGGTCAGCATCATCGATAAAGCTGTAATGTTTGGACTTTAATCAAACCCGTTGCATCTATATTTTTACTTCGATGCCCTTATATGTACACCCTTATACCTGTGCCTTAACCTCGAAAGTCCTTTATCCATACGCTTATCCATATACTTAGAGGCTTATACTTGCACATTGACATTTGTATTCTTATGTTTATGCCCCTATAGTTATACTCTTAGGTCTATACTCCATTAGATAAATTTTATATAAATTTTTGATTTGTTTTGTTTTCTTAATAAAACGCATTATCTCTGCGAAACAAATGTATAAGTATCGTGTATCTTGATTGTCGCCGTTTATCAGGGTAACTCAGAAAATTGTAAAAGAACGACTAAGATTAATCCAAAAGAATCTTTTAATTAATAGATAGAAAAACACAAGTGTTTTCGTGAAAAAATTTATCTGAAAAAACCATCGCGTATGTCTTAGTGTAGTTCGAATCAAGTTCATTGTGACATAGTAAACTCATCAATCAGATATACGGGACATGAAACTAGGAGGGATAGATATATGCTTCTACAATACATCAAATTGGTGGTTTAAGAAATAGAAGGAAAGAAAATATGTAAAAAGACAAAAAAAGAAGATACTAACAATGAAAGGTCATGGTTATTATCTGTATTGCTCGACTAATGTGTTTGAAGAGAACAAAAGAAGCTATTTATGTTGATATGCATTGTTCGTTGAATGAATGGTATACGTATTCGAACTGTTAGAAAAATTTTTGATTTTAATCACCGCGCTCTCATCTTCCCCAAAGGGCTATGTATATCAAACACATCAATCAGTTGAAGATATGATTAAAATAAAAATGAACCATTGAGTTGTTATTCTGACATCATCATATATGTATCTCGTTCGAAATATTTAAAGACATTGTACTACACAATATTTATAAAATTCATCTCTATGACAGATCTATTTAAGCGATATATTTTTCAGTTCGATAATGCAAAATGTTTGTCTAAGCAGTAGGAGACTTCACTTCATAAAATGCCATGCTAATCAGAGTATGAATGTGAATATTTATTTAGTTTGCTTGTAAAAAAAAATGCGTTTCTTATAAATGGGTTTAAACACAAAAAATAGTATTATCTTTCTAGAAATTACCGTTCGAAAGTTGTTTTCTACAGTGTTTTTTTTTTCATGGGTGCTGTATGATCCAATTTTATGCATGAGAGTTGAAACAAGTGAAGCATTTCTATTGATTTGTTCGACAATATATTTATTGTTTTTGAATAACAAACGAACAATGTATATCAACGAAACATAAGTATATCTTTAGGAAGCCTTGTCTTGTTAAGACATCAATCTTTTAGAATAAACAAATATTCACTGATAGCCGAAAACCAATTGTAAGTATGATTAAAATTTTATGGTCGTAATCATCCTATCGCATTTGAAAAAGCATGTTGTATTGAAATTGAAAAGATCTGGATAAAGAAATAACCAGAATGAAGATAGTAGGTTGGATTGGTGATCGAGTTCGCTTTCAGATCTGTATCAAATGCAATAAATTTTATTAATTCTGTACATATATTCGGTTTTAAAGTGAAACGATGTAGGTTTTGATTAACTTACGATGGTATTTCATTTTGTAAACAAGATAAAAAAAAAGAAATACATAAATAACGATTCGATATATGTTTGTATTTCATTTCTATCAGAAGAAATTATGTGTTCACAAGCATGAGAGTGTTAAAGAAAAGAAACTCTACAACAAAAAAACAAACATGGAGAGTATTCACATATTTCATTAAGAATTTAATGCATTAAAATTGAAATAATATTAACCCTTTGGCGACAGGAAATGTATATATAGGCTTTGAGCTTTAGTGTCGATTCCAACTTTGTACGATCATCTATCTTAACTAGGCCATAACGGTATTCTGTCTTTCTCCTAATTTGCTAGTATTCCATAGTATCATCGTGTGATACAATTATGCATGCATATCAAGAGGCAACAAAAAATTTTGGATTTGGAAGAACTCAAGAGTCTATGGAATATCTATACTCAATACTATTTAGAACAACATGATACCAAACAAAATTCCATAATATCCTGTTGAATCCCAAAACTATTATTGTTCGACGGAGCTGTTGTTACTACTTCAATTCTAATGTTACAGATAGTTAGATGTGAGATTTCGTGACATCTATATTATGATATAGATGCTTCAAAGTTATGCATCGAACAACTTACAGAATTCTATAAGATTCTATGTGATTCTAGAATTTCATAGAGTTCAATGATTCTTTACAATATCCACTATTTCTCTTGACCTATACACCCCATTTCAGACTTATCCTAAAAAAAAGATCACAACTTTTGCATTTCTGCCGAAAAAAGAAAACTCGTCACCAAAGAGTTAACAAGAGCAAATAATTAAGTGAAATCATTTTTTTTTCTTTAAACTGTTGAGATGATATCAAACGTAAAACATTGGTATTGGTACTTACCTGATCATAGACAATTGGAATGAACAATTTCATTTGATGCATACATTAATATGTTCAGAAAGTAACTAAAAGAATATTAAATTCTTAAATCTCAAGACCATATGTACTCAAATAGTAATATCATTCTCTCTCATTGATACTGTAGGTTCCTCTTTTCTTCTTATTCTCTGTCCTACATAAATTTATATTTTACATGAGATAGTAACACTATATGGATATGAGCCAGCTCAATAAACATCATGATCAAGGCTTGTGATAAAGCTACTCTTTCAGTTTGTCTTTAGCTTCTCAAAATTTTGAATATTGACAAAAATTATTCGAAAAATTCCTATACTCAGGTTTTTTTCTTTTTCCTATATATTGTAGGGGAAAAAACAAGACATCTTAGTGAGTTCCAATTTGAATTTACTGTCATCGAGTTTTGTATTATGTTTGAATTAGTTTAAAAATTTTGTCAAATACAAGTGAGGTATACAATATTTCAGATAATACAATAGAAACTTATGTTTTAATAGCACGTGCTCCAAATTTAATGATGAAATTGAATAAAAATCTCCAAAATTACTTTTGTTTTTCGTTCAACAAAATATGACCATGCAAGATTGTTTTCTACTCAGAAAAATCTTTCGTTGTGTCAATTAAATCAAATGTGACTTTGTTGCAAGTATGAACGAAACGGTTTGTTCTAGTGAATATTTCATATTAGGTTTTTATTTTGTGACAGACATGGGATAGATTTTTGGTTTTTTTTGAAACTGAACTGAATCTAGTTAAAAACTCTCGAAATGTAGTATTATTTCGTATGCTTATTAGTCATAAATTGCGTCAATCAGGAAACTGTTTATACTTAATGACATTAAGAAAGAATCAGATTACAGTAGCTATATATATTCTACTTTTGAGATGGTTATAAACGATTTCAAAATTTGATTATCAGCTTGCAATATCTTTTTCTCACGTGTAATTTACTTCTGTATGTATCACTAGACGTTAATCTTTCCAATCACTAAATAATTATAATAAGCATCAGAAGTAAGAGTAGAAAGAAAAATAATTGAGCATGTATAGGACAAGAAAGCAAAAATCCAACATATAAACCTGATCACAGTGAGAATGAAAACAAACGAAGCGTATCATGATAGAGAAAAATATTATGATTATATTCAATTAGATACAGAGTATAATAGAGCTGATTCTATACAGAACCTATTGCTATGAAAATGATTATTATTTTTTTCGAACCAAATTTTTGTCTTCACACAATTTACAAAGATTAATACGTGTCTTAATCGTTCAATTGAGGTGTCGTATTTTTTTTTTTTGATGGAAACTTTTATTGATTTATATAGGTCAGGAATCACCAAGTTCGATGTTATACGCAGAGTATATTACATGAATAAAAATGATTCTATATCCAATTTCTATTGAAATTCTAATGTTTTTCCTCATATGATTTCATAGGAAAAGGTATGGTATTTTAACATTTGTAAATTTTTTAAACGGATTGTTGAAGACTATTGTTTACATTTACATATTATCTCTAAAGGATTTAGTGTCATAATATAGAAAGTAGAAACTACTCAATTATTCATACTAAGAGAAAGTCAACAAACAAAAAGATAAATAAAATTTTCTATGCTTGCATATTTCTTAGTTACATTTATTTTTCATATAAATATATATATTCTACAATTGTGAAATATGCATTGAAAAACACAGAAATGTAAGAGCGTATTGTAACATAACTCAGATTTCAACACCATCACATTAGAAATGATTAATCCAATTGTTATTTTCTCTCGTCATAGTTGAGAAAATGTCAATAATATAAGTTTTACGTAAAGAAGAAAATTTGGTTTAATGAGTACAATTAGCATTGTTGTACAACAACACATTCTGTACCAAATCAGTACAAGATTAGATAACGAGTTATTACAATATTTTCAATCACGTTGAAATTAATGAAATATGAAGTGAGAACACGTTTCAAACAATTTATATTAAAACATAAACTCAAACACTAGAAGCAATGTGCATGGATGACATTAATTACCTTATCAAATAATATTTTTATCCATTCTTGTGATTTAACCTTGAAAGTAGATATAGAACACTTGCATTTTCCTCAAATCAAATCGATCCCATCTCTGTTGTGACTGATCCAGATTTTTGATGTTATTTGTTTGACGGATTTAATTTCGTTTTAGTTCAAAACAAGAAACAATACAAAGGCATGTACTTATCGAATTACTTTTTCAATCCAGAGAACGTGAAAAAAAATATGTCAACTAAGCTCTTTGCATGTTGTTGTTCTTTTAGCAGAATAAACATGAAGACGATTCTGAATATCTAAAGGATTAAATAGCCATATTGTTATACTCTCAACACGTACAATATTATCGAATACGAAGGACACAATGTTTTAGTATCAGATATCATATGTGCGCAGTTTGTTTGCATATGTCAAGACATGTAAATATCGTATTTTGTAATTGATCAAACATGAAGACAATTTCGTTCATTCATTTAACAAAAATTTTTGAATTCAATGACAATGTTGTTGTTCGTGATCGTTTCCAGTGTAATGACTGTTTGCCCTATAAGGAGTACATTATCTGATAGTACTGTTCGACTTTATGATTCCTTTGCTGAAATTCATGAAGTATACAATGGACCTCTTCGTTTTCAACAGGCTGATTGGAATAATATCAAACATGAAAGTATAATTCTACAAACAACATCAGAAAATAACAATATTACAATATTTTTTGAACGTCGAATCATTCGACTCGATGTTAATATGAGAGGTATGTAATTACAGACAATTTGCAATTCGTTTCTCTTTTTATAATTTTGTTCATTTTTAGGTAACAAAATCTTCGTACGAAAATATTCCGAACAAAAACATCCCATACCTTGTGAACTAATTAAATCAGATAATGAATATTCAATTGTACGTGAATTAGAAACAGGACATTATTTTCGTATACAATCTGATCTTATTGAATATTCTTATGAGCCTCAATTAAGTCCAATCTATGAAGTTTCTTTTCATCCATTACCAACGAATCATTCTTTAATTGTTACTTATATTGTCAATAGTCTTCGATGGAATGCTCGTTATACATTACAAATGTTTGCTGATGGTCAAACACAATTTCAAATTTTAGCTGATATTATTAATTCAAGTCCATTGATTTATGATTTTAATTTAACTCATTTGATGGCTGGCGATATTAATCTTGCATTTGCAAATAGTAAAAGTTCTTCATTAATTGCTACAACTATTTCATCAAAAAATAATATTGATTATAGTGGTATACATTTATTTTCTCTTATTAATAAATCATTAACAATTGAACCTTACTCTATTTTAACTTTACCTATTCTTTTATCAAATATTCAAATAAAAGTTTGTTTTACTTATAATCTTATTTTAACTATTCCATTATCAATAACAAATAGTGTGACATCAATTATATCTGGTAAACATAAATTTCAACGTCTGTATCAATTATCAAATAGTTCTTCATTTCTACCAACGGGTCAACTTCTTGTTTATGATTCAACATCAAACGTACTCACAGATGAATGTCATTTACCAGCATTAGCTGAATCAGAAAAATATGAATTTGAATTAGGACAAGATTCTGATGTTATGTTTGTATACAATCGTACATTAACAATTAATCGAACAACCAATTCGTCATTAATAGCAACTAATATTTTAATACAAAATTATAAACAACAAAAAGTTAATGTTCGATTTAAATCTATGTGTCAACTGTCAATGATATGTTTATTTTATGATAGTAAAGCACGTTCACTTGGATCACGTCTACGCTATGATCTGATTCTTGAAGCTAAATCTGAAGTAGCATTTACATTTACTACTGTCAGATTATCTTGAAAAACAAACCAAAAGAAAAAAGAAAAAAAAAACTTTAATATATTATTATTATTATTATAATTATTACAAACACTGACAGTAATTTTGTATTGTATGTTTTTACTAGCGAAAAAAAAGAAAAAGATATAAAAATAGCTCAATAAACAATATCATCGGAAAAATGTATGAAAAAAAAAACAACGATACATATATAAAGAGAGAAACGAAAAGAAAAAGTATTACCGTACAAAATACAATAACAGTCCTCTCCTAAAATAACGTGCGTATCCCTAGTCAATTATCAATAGCCTTCACAGACGGTTTTTAGGTAAAAAAAAAAACGGAAAGAGAATAAATGGACGAGCAACGTAAATAAAATAGAAAAAACAACTAATACAGGTATCTGCGCATCTATCTCCTCCTATCGGCAGACGATAGATAGGGAGAGAGAAAAAAAAGAGAGCGGAATACGGCAGACTGTATACAACGAGCTGAATACATTCATTATTATCACGAGGAAGAATAAAGCGTCACCAAAGTATACTTTTCGTTAGAAGTAAAATATTAAAAAATACGGTTATTGTCGAAGATGGATATAACGAACAACAGTAGTAGTACTCCTTCAACAATACAAAGTGAATGTTTCTTAACTGACGAAGAAATCAAGAAATCGTACAATTTAACACTTCATATCATATCTATATTTGTATTGTTAATTGTATCATTTGCTGGTGCATCTATTTCGGTTGCATCAACACGAGTTAAATTTTTACATATTAATCCAATTATTATCAATATAGGAAAGTTTTTTGGTAGTGGGTACGTTAAAAAAATACTTTTATAAATGCTTTAGTTGTATACTTATTTTATCATCTTAGAGTTGTATTAGCAACAGGTTTTATTCATATTTTACCCGATGCTATGGAAACATTAAGTGATCCGTGTTTACCTGATTCTTGGAATGTATACGGTGCTTATGCTGGTCTTTTTGCTATGTTAGCTGTTCTTGCTATGCAATTAATTGAATTCTTAGCACATCAACGATTTCGTTCAACGAAACATGGACATGCTCATATAACAATAAAAAATGTTGCACATGAATCAACGAACCAAGAAAGTGTAGATAATCAAGAAGTCAAATCTACAGAGATGGAACAAACTACTAATGACACTGTTGAACCTGCATGTATGGAACATGTGCATAGTAAGATTAAAAAGCCTCGAAAGCAAATTCATGAACATGATAAAGTTTCCGACATTGAAAATACAAAACAAACCGATAATAAAATAGAAGAGCCTGAAAAAGTAGAACATGTTGAATACATTGGAAAATCTAAAAAGAAAGCAAAAACACATGATCATAACGACGAGTCTACAAACATGAAAAAGGTTCCTAGCAAGAATGAAGTATCAGAAAATAACAATCCAAATGGTTCTATAATAATTGAAATACCATCCATCGAAGCGAACTTTTCATCGACTGAACATTGTGAAACAGCAGGACATTGTCATGGTGCACTTTTTCAAGATGAAGGAGAACGCAATAAAATAGGTGCTTATTTACTTGAATTTGGTATAACTCTTCATTCAGTTCTTATTGGTTTAACATTGGGTACCACAAGTGAATCATTCGTTCCTCTATTTATTGCACTTTGTTTTCATCAATTTTTTGAAGCAATTGCCCTTGGTGCACAAATTGCTCGTTCAAAAAGAATTTCCATTAAATCAGCTATTGCTATGGTTGTTTTTTTTGCATTTACAACACCTGTTGGTATTGCTATTGGCATTGGAATTCATTCGGGTACATACAATCCAAAATCAGTTTCTTCATTACTTGCTACTGGTATCTTAGATTCCTTAGCAGCTGGTGTTCTTATTTATGTAGCTCTCGTTAATTTAATTACGACTGAAATGGGTGTTCATGCACTTGAATTTCATGCATTGAGTAATCGATTGAAATTATTATATTTTGCAGCATTGTATCTAGGTGTCACAGCCATGGCTATTATTGGCCGATGGGCTTAAAACTATACATGTAATTTTATAAGACTTTAAAACATTTTTATTTTTTCCAATGAAATGCTTTTTTTGTAGTTTGTTATTTTGTCTTTTTGCTCTTATTTCTATTTGAATCTCGTTAAATATAAGGGTTTTCAAATCAAGACTAATTTTAATTAAAAAAAAAGAAATTACAAAAGGTAAAAGATGAATATTTTCGACTTCGTCAATATCGCAATTGTTTTCCGACAAGATGCATTTCATCAGCTTGAATTAATTGTGGTATAACATGTTTTTTCAAAGATTGTTTTTCAATATTAATATTTACATCTTCTATCTCTTCTAAACCATTTGTTAATATTCGAAATGGTATTGTATAACCAGGTGATTCAATTGATTTACCAACAATAAGTTGTCGACGTGTATCACCTTGATATGATATAGCAAGACGAACATTTACAGAATATGACCAAGCTTTACCAAGAGCAACACTCATATAAAAATCATTTCCTGTATTTTTATGAGTCGTTAGTGATAAAGAGTCATCAGTCTTTTCTGTCAAAACATTTGAACGACGTTTTGTTGTAACTTGATTTGTTACTGAAGAAAAACAAAATATTAATTCATATAGAAGAACAAAGCTGTTAGTGCAATTTCTATGAGATCAAAATGTGAAACACGATGTAGCTGCTCTTGATAACTAATAGAAGATTGTTTTATGCTATTTATTTTGGGACACTTTTCGTCACCATCCTCTTTAGAAATGTAACAAGGAAGTAATTCATAATTTAGAACAAGACATTATTGAGATACGATCTGTAATAAATCATTGCTAAGATGTTTGTGGAAATAGTAGTAGTCCTAAATTTCTGCGCCTTTACTTGAACACTTCTTTTAAATCGTGTTTCAGAAAAAAAACACTCATTAGATTTTCATCTTTTTTTAAATGTTACCTAAAACAAGAAGATTATATCGTGCAGCAAGTCGTTTAGCACAATCAGTAAATAATAATAGTGTATTATCTCGATTATAACCCATAGTAGACATTCTTAATGGAGCAGCAATTGAATCAATAATTAATAAAATAGGATATTGATCTCTTGTATTATTTTTAAAGTCATCTTCTAATTCATTTTCAATTTGTGATAATATATTCATTAATGAATCCGAATCAAATACAGTTTCTGTACGAACAAGTTCAAGTAAATGTTCTTGTTTACTATTAAAATCACCAATCATATTTAAAAGACGAAGTGATGAAAATGTATGTTCAGTATCAATATAAATTGAACGTAAACCCATTAAACAACATTGAGCAGTAAGATGAAGACAAAATTGTGTTTTACCACTACCTGTTAATTTTAAAAGTAATTAAAAGAAAAAAAAAAGGAAAACATGTAATAGATGCATCGAAATTTTCTGGCCAAAATTTCCTTCATTTTTTGATCGATTAAAAAGGAGTTAGAAGGAAGTATTAAACATTCAAACTTAGAATTTGATGTTCCTTTTAGAATGAGTGTTCAAAATTTTTATGGTGCTCATGGACTAGGAATTATGAACAAATAATTTTGAATTTCTAGATAAAAGACTTTCTACTCAGCAATGATGTACCTTACTGCATACATTGTATCTCTTGTGAAAAGTCTCATTATGGAGAGACGAGCCTTACAAAAAATTGATGATCAGGATATCATTAAGACAAGAAATATTAGCTCTTTCAATATTCTAGACATTTTATTAAGCCTGAAAACCGTCCAAAATTATTTTCAGACCTTTCAAAGATTTGCTTATAATTTCTAACCTATGAATTTCACAAAAAGTTTGAACCTAGATTCAGAAATAAAACAAAATTCTAATTCTAATCGAGTATTCCATAACTCCTGTCGATGCTCTTAATCGGTCGAAAAAGTGAAAAAACAAATTTGCCCAGCAACACTTCCAGTGCATCTATTATTTATTTTATCCATTATCTACCCCATGATCCACATAATTCAATAAGTAAACCACGTCGTAGACCACCATTAAGATGACGATTCAGTGTTGGTAATGTTGTTGGAATATATAATGATGATGTTTGTATTAACATATCATAGACATTTTTTGATTGTATTGATAATGTTGAAAATAATTTTTCAAGAATTTCTTCAGCATGAAAAATAGATAAACGAAATTTAAATGAAAGTTCAAGTGATGTATATGCTGAAAGATCTATTAAATTTTTAATTCCAGCACGTTCAAAACGTTCAAGTAGATGATTATCAATAAGATTTAATGAAGTAAAATGTGGGGATGTAAATGAAATAAATGACATGAATTCTTTTGTTGTTGTATCTTGTCGAATAATCGAAAAACAAAAACAGTTTTACATGAATATTTGTGGTATGTACGTCATATCTAGAAAATAATTCTATCCAATGAAAGTTATACTTCAAATTTAATTAAATTAATAGAAAATATTTGTAGGTGTTGTTGTTGTTTTTTTTCTACAAATATATTAAATAATATGTTTTTAGATTATTTTGAAATTTGATTGATTCTACAACTCTGTGAAATTCACATATACTTTCGAAGAAAATAGTGAGTGTAAATTTTAAGTCGAAGCTTCGGGGCTTCCCCATTCTCTCTATTGTAGTCCTTAGCGGCCGAAGTCGAAGGTCATTGGAGATGTGTTTTTTAGCAAGCTCACGTGTACGTTAATCATTTTAACACTGCTGTCACATGTAGTTACTCAAGCGACAATCATAGATTTGCATAGCAAACAATATTGGTTGATATTTTAAAACTAAAAAGAAAAAAAGCGAAAAAGATGAGTGTAGAATTAAAGTACTAATATGTACAGCTCAAATAATGAAACAAAGTTTAATAGATGAAAATATATGTCAATTCCAGATTTCAGCCCAAAAAGAGCTGTGCTAACAACTTTCTTTTTAGAAATTAATTAGATCATCAAACAACATATTGAAAAATTCTCGAAACAAAAGAAAATGTCAAATACAATAATATTTTTGCCTTCATATGATCTCGAGTTTTTTCAAGTCAAACTGTTCTAAAATAAACTCATTATTTACATATTTAAGAAACGTTTGTTTTTTTTTTCAAATGTTAAGTATCTGATTGATCAATATTGAAAACTAATGAACCATGAACGTTCTGCTACTTATTCAATAGAGTTTATGTTGAGTTAACCACGGGAATAGCTTAGACAACTGCTACTCATGACATCCGTACAGTTAAATTTGAGCGAAGTCATTTCACTATTAAGATACAGAGTGCATCATTCGTTTCGAATGACATAATAAAAGTCAATTCATCGTTCATTTGATTTTTATATGGCTTTTCACAGTTATGTTGTTATTTAATCCGTATAGAGCTGAAAGCTTACTAATTATGGATTATTTCTTTGAGAAATAAGGCATTTCGGGAAATGTTTTATGGTTCGATATCGACATTGGTGATAATTTTCAGATTGAAATAAAATCTTTCGATTTCAGGATCGTATCAGCATTGTTCTCACCCACACGGATGATCATAACAAAAAGCTGCAAGTTTCTATCGTTTATTGATAAGAAACTAATGTATAAATAAATAAATAAATAAAAACAATTTCTTCACTTTTTATTAACAATGACTCATAAAACTTTGCTACCATATAATTAAAACAAGTTTCATTGTTTTTCAAACTGATAGAAGGCTCTAGACAGTATTCTGAAATTGTCTCGATCGAATACTTTAATATTCGAAACAAATAGTTTCTATGAATGGTTCAAACAATGGCTCAACAGAGAATCAACAAGGTAATTAGAAAATGAATAGAAGAATCAATACTAAAATTATATTTTCCCTGAAGATTTCTTCTATATTTATTTACTATCAATATCAATCATTTAAATTTCATGAATACAACTGATCGTTGCATTTATATATTTATATTTCTTTTGCTTGTTTATGTGTTTTTTTTTTACTATTTACTAAAAATAACATTAACAACAAGTATTTATTAATGATTTGAAATCTTTAAGTGTTGTTCGTTTTAATGGTGTGCCTCTTAATGATTGTGATGTTGCTGAATCAATTCGAACTTCAACATAGTCACCCGATTGTAATATATCATTACTATTTAATAATTGCTTAGAAAATATTACTTTTGTATTATAATCATTTCTTCCAGCAACTTCATTATCTGGTGAACGTTTACTTGGTCCTTCAACAAGACATAATTGTATTTGACCTATATATGATTGATTAATTAAATGTGCATGATGTCGAAATAATTCATGAATTTCTAAATGTCGTCGAGATTTTATATCCAATGAAATATCATCATTTAAATGATAATGTGCTTTAGTTTTTTCACGCATTGAATATGGAAATGAATATATAAAATTATATCGTACACGATTAATAACATCGAGTGTATCATGATGATCATCTTCTGTTTCACTGCAAAAACCAGCAATAAAATCAGATGATAAGGCTATATCAGGTATAATCGAACGAATATGTTCGACTAATGATAAATAAGATTCTTTAGTATAACCACGACGCATTAATTCTAATACATAAATTAATATATTAGATTTAAATATTAAAATAAAGAAAAAAAAATACATAAGACATACCAAGCATACGTGTGCTACCACTTTGACATGGTAAATGTATTGATTTACAAATATTTGGACGATCACGCATTATCTAAAAATTAAAAAAATAATATGAAAAGAAAAAATATTCTAAACAAAAGTCTTAATCTAACAAACATATAGTAAATCATCAGGAAAATCTTTTGGATGTGGTGATGTAAAACGTATACGAAGTTCAGATGAAATATTTGATGCTTGTTCAAGTAAAGTTGCAAAACGAATAGAACCTTAAGGTTTGAAATACGATTAATTGAAATAATTATTTAATAAAAAAGGAAGTACAAAAAAAAATACCTTTTGTAGGATTTGTTTTATAATTTTCTCGAAACCCTCTTGATAATGTTTTTGTTGTATGTAATGATACATTCATTTCAGATTTATCACAATAACTATTAACATTTTGTCCAAGTAAAGTCACATCTTTTTAAAAGAATAAACGGTTCAAAATCAAAAAAGATATATAAATATATAAATGTTTTACCTTTTATTCCAAGATCGACTAAATAACGAAATTCATCAAGAATACTTGTCATAGGTCTAAAAAATGAAAACAATTTGATATTTTATTTTCCAAACGACAATCAATAGAATATATGAAATTATAGTTATTAGTCATTGAGAGAATTTCAATGATCTCGAATGAATATTAAGATTTATCGATATTCTATCTTAAAAAATCGAACTATTTACTAATATGAATGAGAAATAATTGAAACAATTATATTATTATTCGCTTTTTAGACAGTACAAATCGTTTTCATTCAATCAACACAGCGGTGGTTTTGGGCTTTAGCAAATACCCACGGAAAAATTCTTCCGAAAAAAACCGCGGTAATCTGAGGTTAACCGCTGTTTTGTTCCACATTTTGAAAAACCGCGAAAGTCAGACCTTTTATGCGGTTTTTGGAAACCGGCGAAAACCGCGGTTAGACCTGCAAAAACTCAGCTCGGACCGCGATTTTCCCGGTTCTCACCGCGGTATTTGCAAACCGCGGTTTTCGCAGGTTTCAAAAACCGCATAAAAGGTCTGACTTTCGCGGTTTTTTCTTGAAAATTTTTTCCGTGGGTAGACGGACTTTAGTAGAAGAGAACAAGGCGATCATAGTCACAAAATGTGTTATGAGATTAATTAGAGATTGTTTCGATTCATTTTTGAATGTTTTATGCTAGGATAAATTGAAAATTATTTTAGAATATTGGGGCGATCGTTTCAAGTGCCCTCTTTAAATCCGACATTGAATTAATTCAAATTATTAATAAGCATTGTTTTGAAAAATGAAGAACTAACCAACATACTTGGTGAGTCAAAATGATTAGGAGATCGAGTATTTTGTAAATATTTCAACACAGACTAATTCTATAAGGATGAAGTGTTTTTTTACCAAATGCGCCATTGGATGCTCTAACAGAATGTCAATGATTCATTTTCTTTGAATTGTTTTAATCAGTCTCTTACAATACTAAAACTGAAGCCCTATCAAATGATCAAATGTCTCCCTATTTTAAAAGAAACAAAAATGAAAATAACATTGATTTTTTAGATGTATTTCATCACTAACAAATCACAAGATCTTAAATAGTTATTTTTAAATATGTATCGTGACCTTCTTTAATATTATTACATGTACGAGTCTTTGGAACTATGCTAATCAAATTTTTTCAATGACAAAAGGGTGTGGATGTGGATGTAGGTCTTCTCTCTAATTATAGTTGCAACCATACACTATGCACACACATCCGACACATTACCATACACGTCTATCAATCCACAATCATAGCTCAGCAGTTTGTTATCTTGCTGTGCACTATTTCTTAATGAAAATGCATACTACTTAACACTACGGAATGCAGTAGCTAGTTAAAGAAATAAGGCTTTTTATAGAAGTTAATCAGATAAATTTAAGTCCAGGTCGAAATTTTGGTCTCTCTCAAGATTGTTATATTATGTCATTTCAACTTTTTTTTAATGAAGTATATCATTCAATGATTTTTTTGAAATAAAAAAAGAGGCTATTGTGTTATTATTGAAACCATTCAATAGAATATTTCACTATTACTGTTGTAGAAGATGTGATGATCTTTTTAACTTATCCGATATTAATCGAATATTTAAACAATTTGATAAACTATTTCCTTCTTTTTATTAAATACATATATATACTCAATTATACTAACCTACTTCGTTCTCGTCCACGTGTAAATGGTACAATACAAAATGTACACATATTATTACATCCACGCATAATTGATACAAATGCTCGTCGATTACTTGTATCAAAACGAAGTGGTGTTATATCAGCATATGTTTCTTCTAATGATAAAAGTGTATTAATACCTTTTTGATTAGACATTAAAAGTGTTTGATCAAGTAAATTAGGTAAAGAACGATATGCATCTGGACCACAAACAACATCAACAATTTTTTCACGTTCAATTAATTTTTCTTTTAAACGCTCAGCCATACAACCAAGTACACCGATTTGAAATGGTGGAGCATATGGTGAACGTGCTCGTTTTTTATGTCCAAGTGATTGAAGTTTTTTCCAAATTTTTTGTTCAGCACCTTCACTAATTAAACAAAGTTTTTTTATTTTTGTTTTATTTAAATAGAAAAAAAAAAGAAAGTTCTAGACACATACCGGATACTACATGTCATTAATCTAAAATACAGATTAAATCAATCATTAGATATTTTTTAATAATTTCAATATTTTCTTTTTAATATTTACAAAACAATATCAGCATCATCTTCATTATGAACACGTTCATAACCACCATGTTGATCCAAAAATGTATATGCTATATCAGTATCATTTTCATTCATTTGACAACCATATACATGAAAATAAACACGTCGTTTTGGATGTTTTGATGGATCAAATGGTTCATAATCATCAATATTGTTTTGTGTTAAATATGATGGAAGAGTTGGTTCATGTGGTATTTGATTAACTGTTTGTTCAATAAATGATTTTAATGAAGGACCTTGAGAAAGTTTTTCACGCCAAGCAGCAACTGATGATAAATATCGATAATGAGAAAATCGAGAAAACAACAATCGATGTAACATCTGCAAAAAAACATTAAGTAATATAAAAATCACAAAGACAAGAAAGAAAAAAAATTATTTATGAATCTTTTATTGGTGATGTAGTTCGTGTTGTTAAAAATGTTTTTTCAAATTTTTTCACTTGAGTTTCAAGTGAACGTGAATATGCATCTAAATGCATTATAGTTGATTCTAAATTAGACATAGCATCTTCAATTTCATTTAATTGTGTATGAGTTGATAACATTTTTGTAGCTGAAAGTACAAAACAAACACATTTTTACAAGTACATGAAAAAAATTCTAATCGAATATTTACAATTTGTATCATTCATTGTTCGAACTGAATTATTAACATGTTCTAATTTTCGACGCATTTGATTGTATTTATCTAATGCAGCAGTATTCATTTGACTCAAACAATCATAATCACTTGTCACCACTAGAAAGATAACGTTTAGAATAATAAATAATCTCTGAAATTTAGCACAAGTTGACTAACTATCAGGATGAAATACATTTTCTTAATCATTAGAATTCATCATTTCTCAATATTTTATTGCAGACAGTTAATGCCTATTCAAGATTTCAAACACAAGTCAAATCGAACCGAATTGTACTGGTTCGGTTCAGTTCAGTTCGTTTTCGGTCTCTGATTTCAAGTAATTATTCATTGCTAGTCTACAGAAAATTATTCCATGATTTATTTGTGTCAGATCTAAAAAAAAATGTCTTGAATCCTCGTCTTCTGATTTGTTTAGTTGACTACTATTACTTTTTTTTCAGTCATCTATCATGAAATATGTTCTGATCGATATATTTTATAGAATTATTTGCTTAAAACCATAGAATATTTAACTATAATCGTTAGTTCTGAATAGAACAACTTTTTTCTCGTAGTTTCGATAAATCTTCGAATTCTAGTCTCGTACATCTTTATTGCTTGCACATAACACACACGTTTTGATTTACCATAATTTATTTATATAAAGTCTGTGTTTGTTCTAAAAGTAATTTCTATGTATTCAATATACATTTATAAATTAATATAATTGTCATATTATATTCCGATTGATCTGATTGTAGTCTTTCTTCAATTATATTCGCGGTAGACTCAACTTTACACATGAAATCCTTTTATTATTATTATTATTTTCTATCAATGTTATTCTCTTTTTTTTTCTAAATAATACATCAGTACCCAATGACACCATTAACTCTTCATATAGATAAATTCAGACAGAACTGTCATTCATTTCTTTCGTCTGTTTATATGTATTTGTGTATACACTTATCTGCACTCAGTCGTTTTCCATGTGTGATAATTGGTGAAAGCAATGTAACACCTATTACATCATTTTTCTTCTTTTTCAACATGTGACAGGCATCAAATATTATATTTATTAATTTTTACAAGATTTAAATGAATAGTTAATACTCATAATAAAGAGTGTTATTCCCTGGATGTATGGCAATCTATTATATAGAGATGCTTAGAGACGAAGTTTTTTTTGAAATATAGTTTTTAACATATAATGAATTTATTATTATGAAAAAATTTCCAAGTAGAAAATAGAAAGTTTAAGATTAAACAAGCCATGAAAAATACAGATTGCAAATATGTAAAGAGCTTTTTTTAATTACTAACAAGTAAATGTCATAATAAAGAAACATTTTCGTGTTCATTTCCTAATCCGGAAATTAAAAATGCATCGTTTTAGAAATTTTCAAGTGCTTATTATATAGAAAAAGAAGATTTTCATCTATGATTGATGTGCTTCCTAACACTTCTTCGGTCTTTTTTTTCTTTCATAATAAATCATTCAACTCTTCAAAGCTTTATTATCATAATCCCCTATTTTATAGAAATCGGCTTATTTATTTATATCTTTTATTCTCATGGTTCATCAAATTGTATGAACAATGGATTGAGGTAGATAATTTAGAAAGCGGAAATTATGTTCTAAGAGTCAGATGTTGACGAATGTTCTATTATAAAGCCTAACGAAAATCCTGTATAGAATTATTGTCTTTTATGATAGACAACTACTCATGATCAATTTACATTCTTATAGCTATATAATTTATGCATAAGAAGATTTCTAGATAATTCCATAAGCTCATATTCAAGACAAAAAGTCTTTCATTCAACGCATCTTATAAATCAAGATCTTTTTCTTTTTTCTCGTATCACTTATCAAATATTCAATTTATATGAATAAAATTTTCAAGTACACCATGCAATTAAAAATATTATTTATAAAGATGAGTAGTTCATCAGTATCAAAAGTGGCAATCAAACATGAAGTACTATTTGTTTTTGAAGTACTTTTTATATGAAGCAATTACTTCTTCTTTTCTATCTCTTATTGATGCACCAGCAATTAAATAGAATAGAAAAACTAGAAAATCATCCTAGCAAAAGAAACAAAAAAACAAAGACAAATAGAACATACATTTAATCTCTGAACGAAAATAATCATCAGCAGTCGAAAGAAATTGTTGAGCAATTTTTTCCGATGAATCATCTTGTTGTTGTGGTGAATTAGATGGATTTGATGTTGCCATAATATATCTATAAGATATTTAAATATTTTTTATCATTTTGATTTCTTTTTATTTGTTGTATTAATCACAATAAATAATAGAATACAGTTCAAATAAGAAGGGTTTTTAAAAGAAGGCGAGCTATGCATTACAAGTGCAAAAAGAAAATAAATAAATAAATAAATGACAATAGGGACGAAAAAACGACAACATATATCTGAATATATTTCGAGATTGAATTCGCACGACAAACAGGCTTTTCTTCTTTTATTCAGAAGTAGTATTATTCGTTGTTGGCGTAGGTGTTGGTAGAACTTTTTTATTTGTTCGTTCGAACATTTCACGTTCATATTCTCGAACTTGATCCAAAGTCATACCATACCTAACAAAACAAAATGAAATATATATATATATATTATTAAATTAATTTATTAAATTCAATTATTACCATTCATCCATCCATGTAAATGCTTGTCGATGTGCAAGTATAAGAATATCACGTACAGCCTAAAGAAATATATAAATATATATTCTTAAAATGAGAATAAATAGCGTACACGTTGAGTAAAATCTTCAACACGTGTTTGAAATCCCCAAACTTCAAAACGTACTCGAATAATTTTATATGCACACATTATTGGTTTAGTATATTCCTGAAAAAAGAAAATATTTTTTTTTTTACATAAATAAAAAAATATGGAAAATTTTTCTTATGACAATTTACTCTCCAATTAGCCGTTAATGGACCACGACCTGTTTTTTCTGATTTGAATTTACATGGATCTTCACTTTCCTTATATTTATAAGATGGTACTTGTTCGATTGCAATGTCCAGAAATTCTAATTTTCGAGCAGATAATTCATCGGGTGATAGTTGATGACACTTTAAAATTCATATTAAATATTAAATAATATTAAATAAAATACAAAAAACAACAATTAACTAAATACATTTTCTGTAGTTCCGTTATTATCTTCATATCGTGTTTCGACAACAATTGAAAAGCGTGGTAAAAATGAACACTAAATTAAAGAAAAAGATCACATGTTTTGTTAATCAAAATAAAATTTCAAGAAAAAACTGAACAGTAGAAAAGAAAATAACACAGCACTACAACAATGAAAAAAGCAAAAGTTTCGTTTAAATTTCTTGTTTCATTTTTATGAATACAATTACACAAAAATAAGATATTAGTTCATTTCTTATGTTCAAACACAACATTGCAAAAAAGCGAGGCATTAACATGGAACAACCACTTACGGTATACTCTACAGAAGAAAATAATTATAGCAATCCCTTATTCATTTATATCTTCACTAGAATTAAATCATATATAAAACATACCAGTTATTGTATACGGATAAAAATTGCTTGCTTTTTCAGTTATATAAAATACGTTTGGAATTAGGGAACGCATCCAATTCGGTAAACGACTATAGAGTAGATCAACAGATAGAATAAATAAAGAAAAAGATTATCGATTTAATTTAGAAGAACCTTGATAGATATATTCTTTTTTCTGTCAATTGACCAACTAAACCATCTTCATTAGTGATTGGCTCATTTCTTACAACTTCAACACCATCATCTTTACTTGATTCAACTTCACAATGTTTACATATCATATAAAGTTGTCCAATATGATACTACGAGAAACAAAAAAAGAAATAAAATATCTAATTATATAATAAAAAATTTTTAAATTTTACTTCTTCAACTGTAAATGGTAGACATATTCGGTATTCATGTAATAACATTTTGCATATGGCTAGTGATCTGACACTCTGGAAAGAATTTTTCCGTTCTTTTCTCCTTAAAATGAAAAACACGAGAATGTTGCTGATTGAGTCATCTGAATCTAGACGATTCACCAACCAATGAGAAGCGAGACATTTTCCATTTACTGACCTCTTTTGTTTTTTCCTTATAAATAATAATGATTTTTTCCTTTTTAATTATAAAAACATCACTAAATCAATAATGAAAACAAAAAGCAAATAAATCATTCCTGGAAAAAAAGATGTAAACACTTCTTTTATTTTAATTCTATTAATAATTATTTATCATAAACTCTCTGTCTTCTCCAAAAGAAAAATTTCGTTTTGTCGATCATTTTTTTAATCATATTATGTTTCCCATAGAGATAATCTCATGCATGTCAAATTCTCATGTTAATTGCATGAGACACATTTGGTATTAGTGAAGCATTGTCTTTTTGTTTTCTTTATAAAAACATTTCCGAATAAAAATTGATGAGAGGATACGTCTATGTATTACCCTTGTTCATTTAAATTTTCTTCATATGTGAGTTATTTTCTGATGATCACAACTACTAAATATATACCATTAATAATAAATATATGTGTTGTTACTTAAATTAGCTCATGAATAACGTACATCATACATAACAAAACGATTTCATAAATGAAAACCTTGAAACGCATGCAGATAATAATATATATTTATGAAGACAGTTGAAAATAATTACAAGGATGAAAAGAAATTGATAGAAACACTCATATTGTGTTGGACCTGTTTGAAAATTGATACTTTTTATTCTAATGATGTTGACATTATATTAAGAATTACAATACTTCAATTATAAATCCAGTAGATATGTTGAAAATTTCTAAAACTTGTCTTAAATGTCATGACTAAAGAAAAAGAAACTGTAAACCATTGCGTTATTATCAGATTATATTTTTTATCTAATGAAGAAATCATTTGGGTTAAAATATTCATTAATTTTGATATAGAATTATAATTGTTCAAGCTATTGAAACGATCACGACATTGGACTAAAGAACATCTTAGATGATCAATGATTTAATAAGAAATGAATCGACTTCATTTACTTCATACTCTATCATTCAACTTATTTATGTGGGAAAATCTATTTATAAATAATGCCTTCAAAATCACAATAAAATATATGAATGACTAAACACGCAACGTTATCTTAATTAAGAGTAAAGCCATGTGAATTAATTTTATTCATTGAGTTTTTAGACTACATCGATCTCTTATAATTAATAATCAAAAAGAATTCACTTTTCTTTTCTTCTCGAATAAAAAAAACTACTTCACAAGAAATTCAATGTTCTCTTAAGCAACTTTCTTTCACCAAAAATGACTACTTAATGTCATGTACAAGTTACACGCCAACAACATCTTACAAAAGAATGCGCAATTCAATTTTGCTTTCCAGCACATTGTTTTCTCTCTTTTAACAATACTTAAACATTTCCATATGAGAAGAGACGCAAAAACGTTGACATACAATTAACCTATTTCAAAGAAAGCAAATACAAAGTTATTAACCGATAGCAAAGTCATGGATAACAGAGGTTATAAACCTAGAAGCTTTGGTTTTACAAGAGAAGTTAAAAGATATCATACACGACGAATTCAACCAATTAACGATGAAGATGATATAGTATCAACGAATACCGTTGAACGATATTCACCAACAAATATAGCTGAATCATATTCATCAACAAATGCAGTAAGTCAATTTATAGAGAAAACAACAAAACAATATAACGAAAAAAAAAAATCTCGTTATAAAACAATAATAATTACTACTATTTTTATTTTATTCTAGCGACTGCAATCAAATGATTCATTACTTGAAACAAATCAAGATTATACACAACAAAAGAAAGTTTCATATGATGATGACACGTAAGATGATTGAATTTTGTTTTTTGTTTGAAAAGTTTTAAATATTTCTAATCTTAGACCTGCTTTATCAACTACCTCTATAACAGGCTTGTTTATTGCTGGTGGCATACTTATAGGTATTACTATTTTGATTGTAGTACCAACTGTAGTTGGAATTATTGTTACACGAAATCCTACAGGTATAAAACTATAAATGAATACAATTTTTTTTATATAAAAAACAAGAATCATTTACTAATTATCTGTTGAGTTATTCTACTATACATTACTTGTATAATCCATAGTTGATAGAGTTTTATTCAGAAAAATTCATTGTAATTTCTTGATTAGGAGATGTTGAGATAAGAATAAATATCAATATTTTTTGTTTCTTTAGTGATAGATGGTACTACATCATCGACAATTGCTCCTACAGTTATTACGGCTTATTGGAGTTTCGATAATGATGCAAATGATTTATATGCAACTTACAATGGTACTCTTGTAAATGGTGCAACATTTTCAAACAGCACTTATTTTGATTATGGTTATAATTTAGCATTAAATAATTCATTGAATCAATCTGTTACTATTACAAGTCCATTCTTTAATTTATCTTATACAAGTTTTACTGTTGAAGCATGGATTTATGGTTATACACTTACAGGTGATCAACCAATATTTTCTCAATGTCAATGTAATTCATGTCAAGATCAATGTCTTTATTTAATTATTCGAAGTCATAAAATGTATATGGGTTTTATGTTAGATGATGTGATTGGTTCAACATCATTATCGACTAATACATGGTATCATGTTGCATATGTATATGATTATTCAAGTCAAACACAATCAATTTATTTACAAGGTGTTCTTGATGGTACACAAACATCAGCTGGTCCTTATCAAGGTCAAAATGGATCAATATTTATAGGATCATCAGTTTTATCTTCAAATTCATTTTATGGTTATATTGATAATTTGAAATTAACAACAAGAGCTAAATCATCTAGTGAAATTCTTACTGATGCTTCATTAGTTACTTATTTCTCATTTGATGGTTCAACATTAACACAAGATATGGGGCCTAATCAATTGAATGGTACAATATCAAATGCTGCTGCAGTTAGTGGAAAAGTTGGTCAAGGTTTAGCTTTTAGTGGGTCAACATCGTCTTACTTTCAAGCATCAGGATTTTATCAATTAGGTCAGTCAAACAAACCATTTTCATTTTCCATGTGGATATATCCATACTCAATTACTGGTGGAGTATTAATTCAGAAAACAATATTGCAAAGTGCCAGTGGTGGTTGGTGTTATACTCTGATGGGTATTACGTCTTTCGGCCAAATTGTAATGATCATTTACGATTCTTTTGTACCAACAATTGTTGGTCCCTTTTTAACAGTTCGTACGTGGACTCATCTTGGTTATACATATAGTACAACAAATGGTCTTCGAATGTACATCAATGGCCAGTTATCTGGTACTACTGGACCAGTATCATGGTCGTCATCGTCTAGGATTGACTGGCTCAGTATTGGCTGTTATGTACCCAGTTATTGTGGACCAGGTGTAATAAGTGCTGTTCCTTATTTAGGTGCCATTGATGAGTTTTATGTCTATCGCCGAGAACTGAGTGCTAGTGAAATACTTGCTTTAGCCAATCCATAAAATGTCATCCTTTTGTGTTTTTTTAATAAAATAAATATTTTACAGTTTTGTACAAAATATATCAACTAATGCTCATATTCATCTCTAACATGCATCTTAGAAATATTTATCTGTTCAATAACAAAACAATCATTGCGGCTGATAAAGAAAGAGAGAGAATAAATAATTTTTATGATGATTATAGTTTCGTATGGATTTTTAACTAGTATTATATCATACAAACAAATGTTTTCAACTCAGATCTGATTTCAACCGATCTTCTTTGCATTCAAATCCATTTTCATTTTATTTTTTATCTAAAACGATATTGGTGGATCTTGTTTGTTCTAGAGATCTATATTAAACAAAATTTTTCTTTATACATTTTATTTTATTCTGAAGTTCTTTTTGTGAATAACACAATAAAAGTCGTAATGTAATATGGAGTCATGATTAATAGGTTAAGGATTAGCTAGAGAATAAACATCAGTAGCCGATAGTTCTCGTCGAAACACATAAAATTCATCAATAATTCCGAAAAAAGCACCACCAGATATAGGACTTGGTGTACATCCAATAATATTATGACCGATTGTTAACCAATCAATAATACCACTTGATGAAAAACTCATGGATCCAGTTGCAGCATACTGCACACCATTAATATACATTATCTGACCATTAGTAAAACTATATGTATAAACAATATGAGTCCACTGCAAAGCAGATATAAATGGACCAGTAATCTGTCGACCACCTCCATTTGTATAGAAAGAAATTTGACCAGCATATGTTAATCCCATCATATCTTGACACCAACCACCACTGTTATATTGAAATGCAGATTTATGAATCAATGTGCCACCTGCAACAGAATATGGATAAATCCATAGAGCAAATGAAAATGATTGTGATGATCGACCTAATTGATAAAATCCATATATTTGAAGATAAGATGATAATCCACTAAAAGCTAAACCATTGCCAACTTTTCCAATAACTGCAACAGCATTTGATATTGAACCATTCATTTGATTTGGTCCCATATCCTGTGTTAATGATGAACCATCAAATGGAAAATAAACAACAACTGAAGCATCAGTAAGAATTTCACTAGATGATTTAGCTCTTGTTGTTAATTTCAAATTATCAATATAACCATAAAATGAACTAGAAGATAAATTTGATATTCCTATATTTAGTGATCCATTTTGACCTTGATAAGGACTTGCTGATGTTTTTGTACCATCAAGAACACCTTGTAAATAAATTGATTGTGTTCGACGTGAATAATCATATACATATGCAACATGATACCATGTATTAGTTGATAATGATGTTGCACCTACAAGATCATTTAACATAAAACCCATATACATTTTATAATTTCGAATAATTAAATAAAGACATTGACTTTGACATGAACTACATTGACATTGAGAAAATATAGATCTATCACCTGTAAGTGCAACACCATAAATCCATGCTTCAACAGTGAAACTTGTATAAGATAAATTAAAGAATGGACTTGTAATAGTAACAGATTGATATGATGAATCATTTAATGCTAAATTATAACCATAACCAAAATAAGTACTGTTTGAAAATGTTGCACCATTTACAAGAGTACCATTGTAAGTTGCATATAAATCATTTGCATCATTATCGAAACTCCAATAAGCACTATAAACTGTAGTAGCAGTAGTTGTTGTTGTTGAATTATTCAATACTAAAAAAAACATAAGAATGTTTATCTAATGGAATAATGAATAAAAAATAAGCTTTATTTTACCTGTTGGATTTCTTGTTAGAACTATGCCAAGAATACTTGATGTTACAATGATAATAACTAAAACTAATAGAATACCACCAGCAATGAATAAACCATTGAAAGATGTGTAGAAAGAAGATCTAATATTCAAATGATAGAATAAACTAATGATATTGTTAGAAAAAGATTTAATCTTACTGATTTTTTCCTTTTGATGGTTGTCGATGAAAATCTTGTTTTCGAACTAGTTCAAGATCAGATGCAGAATTCTATACATGTATACATTTGATAAAAAGTATACAAAATAAAATCTTCTAACATACCACATTTCGATGTGTTGATAATCTATCATCCTGATAATCATATGCATCTTCATTGTTTTCATAAACATCTCCCCTTTCTAGATATACAACTTGTGGTTGTCTAGTAGTTACAAATTTGGTCGTTGTACTCATACTTTTGTTAAGAAAATTATATAATGGTAACTATTGTTGTTTTATGTCTGCATATTTCATTCGAACAACGTGAGCATTTCTGTGTTCCATTTTTCCTTCGACAGTGCAACGGCATTATGCATGCTAACATTGTTGTTGTTGACATTCAAATGGATGTCATGCATAATGCTTTAATGTAAGCATACGACGTTTTCAACAATTGCTTTCATTCTTCAACTAATCAAATATGCGCCATGTTTACTTCGACATTCAGTACTTGAAAACATTTGAGTCGTCAGGAACGAAGGAGAAGGAAAATGTTATGTTTTTCTTAATTTTTTTTGCATTTTATAAAAAATGAATAGTCAATTATTAATATTCAGGCTAAGTGAATACACTTGAATAGGTAAAATATGTTGTAGTTGTGTTGTTGTTTGATAAGAATCACCTAGTGAACAAGTAAAACTAGAACGTATATGCGTTGTTACACGATGATGAAACATGCATTGGTTGTTGTCGACGAAAATGTTCCATTATACTTTGATGGCGATAATGAATAAAATTTTTTATATAAATATATATTATAAATATCAATGGAAGACAATAATCAATGCAATACATGAAAGGAAACTTAAAAAGTTTTTAAGAGTTATTTGTGAAAAACATACGCCAGGATGATAAACACTTTGTTTCAGTAAAAAAAATAGGTACAATAAAACTGATTGATATAATCTATTGAATTATAATAAGACGAGTAGTAAATTAATGAGAACGTAATGAACTATTTTTCGCATAGGTTGTGCAAGAAAGACGAATGAATGCTTGACCTCTATTTTTTATAAAATAAAGAATGAATATATATTAACTACTTGGCAATATTTTGTTGTTTTTGTAACCTGAGAAGTATCTGATGGAGAAAAACGCATAATTTATGAACCATAATGAATGATACATAGTACTAACAGTTATATCATCTCAAAAAATACAAGAAGAATCTGGTTGTCGTTAATCTCCATAAATTATTTTATCAGCGGCATAGTAGATAATAATGATAATAATAAGATTTAACAAATTAAGCAGAAAATCTGCTAAATATCAATTGTGTGCAAATAGATTACCTAATAAACGAAGTTTTAGGATTCTTTTTTATGGGTACAGCATATAGTAACTATATAAAGAAATGTAGCTAACATTCCAACAAAACTGAAGATCAATGAAAGAGCATTGTTTGTTAATGTAAGATACATAATGATAGAGAGAATTTATTGCTAGCTAAAGAGTTAAATAAGTAGATTGATTTGTTTTATGTTAAATGTAACAAGAGAAGGAAGAGAAGAAAAACAAATGATCTGGTGTCTCTAATTCCCATACATAGACTTATCTTATACAGTCTCACGCGATGTGCTTCAAAAATACCAAACAATTGAAAACTTTTTTATTGAATTGTGAGACGAGTTGTTTACTTTGCCTATTGGAACGTTTCTATTATCATCCGTTGACTAAGAATATCTTACTTTATCTATCAAATCGTTTTGGATTCTTCATTAAAAAATTTAAACATAGGATTTTCGCCCATTATTCGTCAGCTTTAGAAGGATAGTTTTTCTGAAATGTACGTATGTATTGTATCGTGTCATGAATCATTTTTCTTCCTTTTTTTTAAATTATACTAAATATTGCACAAAATATAGTCTAACATTGCATCGTTTCAAAAACTTATTTATTGAGAAATCTTTCAGTTTATAAATTGTATGTTACAAGAAAAATATCAAGGTGTGACATCATAATGAAAGCTATATAAATTTCAATCCTTAGTGATTAGCTAATGAAACGATTGCATTGATGGTCAATGATTGATAATATGCGTTAATAGCACCGACTGCTCCTTGAAAATAATTATTTATGATGGAAGTTATTGTACAACCAACAACACCTCATTCTACGGTTAATTAGTCAATCCGCTGCTAGTCTGGCAAGAATAAGCACGGGTTCTATCATATATTATCCCGTTAATGTACATAATTAAACAGTTTTTTTTGACCATATGTTTAACCAACATGCATCTATTCATTGAGTCATATAAATGAACCGACACTTAGTGAAATACTCGATGTGATATAACCGATTTATCATACGTAGCTGAGCCCGACTATTTGACTACAAGAGATATCACTGTTACTATACCTTGATTTTTCTCGTAGATTGATTGCCACTTGGACTGAATATGGATAGAACCATATGGTGGATGAAAAGAGCTTGTTGTGATGGTAAAATGAAAAAATCTATCAGCTTTGAAAATAAGATGGTAATTCACGAAAAACTAGACTTTTTCTGAAACGAAAGCAGTATCCAAAAGTGAAGCACATAATATGTTTAGTCTCATATCTTGTACGAATGTTGAACTATTAAATAAAAAAAACTTACTAATGTAGCATCATCCAATATATCAACATCTCATTTATTCCTTGTAGCCATCATTAATCAGGATCAACTGGTGCTTTCGTTTCATCAAGCACATCTTGTGAATAGACTAATTGTGTCTAACTTGATTAGTCGTAAAACTTACACATATATATATGTATGTTATATGATTTTGAGTTCTTAAATCGCGATATTGATGAAAATAAATAATGCATGCACCTTGAGGAAATATAATTTGTGTCTGTCAATATAGTACTATAGACTCCATACTTCCAGTATAAAACTTAATATAAGATAGATTTCAAGAATAGAAACACTACGTTAACATGTTGATTGCTTTATCTGTGCTGCCATGTTAATTGTTTGGTGATGTACACGGCATTAAACAAGAAGCAACCATAATCAAAAGATGACTAACTTGCATACTATTTATTTCATATACGTATGAAAAAGTTTGATGTTTTTCTATCTCATACCAGCTATTTGTTGAATTAGGATCCATTTTTATTTTGTCATTGATACACTGAAGTTTGAAATTTATATCGATTATCATCAAACATGATCAATATCACTCTCATTGGTAGTTGATAGATATTTACGTGTGAGCACGTCATATAACATATCTAATATTGAATAATGCAAAACTATGTGATATTTTTGTCAGAAACTATCGATAAATGATATTTTCTCTTTTATTATTATTTTTTTCATTTGATATCCAGCTATTTTTGTTCTTATGAGTCGAAAACACATAATTAGCATGCGTTTATTTAACATTCAATAGATTAATTTGCTTTTCTAATTCAAATTTTGCTCTTCAAAAAGGAAATTACTTTCTTATTAAACCTTGAACTATGTAAACAAATGAGTAAATCTATGCTTCGTAATGTCAATAATGACAATTTGATTATTTTTCCTTAGAATGATTCATTATTGATAAACAAATTGAGTCAACATAACACTAAGCTCTTTCGAATCTCTACTGATGTCAAGGCATAGATATACTTTTTGTTTTATAAGAAAAACCATAGATTCAATAACTGGCGCATCAGACATCTCTTATATTGATCGTAACTACTGATTTAATTGCAGTCATAATCAATAAGAATCGAGATCGATCGTTTACATATATTATCATATGTTTATGCCACAAACTAGAGCAATATGAATGTAAAAGATGTTCGACTTTCAATTGACTTGTTAGCTTCGCTATCAACATTTTTCGTTCAATAGACTGAATGTTCCTGATAACGATGAGAAAAAATTCATTTGTCTTGCTTCATGCCATTCATAACCATTTAACATTTGATTAAAAACATTTTTATATATAAATTATTCTTAGACGTTGCTCTTTCGAGTGATATGTCCACAACCTTTCTCCATCATATATCAAGTAAGAAATCAACGATCTACGATAATAAATAGCGTTTGTCTTGATTAGAGACTGTTTCCTCAATGATGATGGTGAACTAATTTTCGTCCCTAACTAAAAGACTAACAAAATAAAAGCAAAAACTTACTTTTGAAGAAATGTTTTTCCCATCTCTTTCAAGAAATAGAAAAAGAATCTCTCGAGTAATTTTGTACAGTGTTTTAAGCTCTATCATAATTCAGAGGTTCATGAGAAATGTATTTCGACATAATAAGATACATAACTTGAAAACAGAATATCTAATATCGATACAAAAACTGCCCCCTATAACCACCAACCAAAATTCGTATACCACTCTGCATACATGAAAAACCGATTTCCACTTTAATAGCCCAATGGACTCTGAGGATTTATCACAAGTGTATTTTTTTTTGTTTAATAAAACGATAGAGGAAATACGTCGTCCGTAGTCATTCATATGTTATCAATTATGGCAGATCAAACGAAGGCTTGTGCATACTTTTACAGCCTCTAAAAACCTGAATCTATAAGAGAAAAACATCTATGGCGTGTGTTTATTCATGTCATTCATTCAAAACTAGCTCTACCCATTCTACACCCGGGACCCACACATAGATCAACGCTACTAGCTACTTAAATAGATACAACATGAAAAGAAGAAAGGAATGATCATAAACGTGAAAGAATGACACTGAAGAAAGACAAGAAAACGCATTCTTCTGTCAGAAGTCGTCTCCTCTGATATAACGTGAAACTAATTTCATAAACAAATACCGACTGGTAGAAAAAGAAATACAGGGCATGAATTCACTTATTCAAAGAGTTGCATCGCTTGTTATTTCACACAATCTTCAAGATTCTCTACGGTAGTAAACTTTAAAGAAAGTCCAAAAGGTAATAATACCTAACATTTTCAGAAAAATATTTTTTTCTGATTCCATCATCATCAGTAAATCCTGGATAAAATCGTGATAAAGCGTCATAATATCCATCAACCACACCGTTTTCGAAAGTAGGCAACAAGGACTATTCAACCATATAAAAATCTCATAATCAATTTTTTTTGACGAAAATTGAGATTTTTGAAAAGAGAGATCTTGAAAACAATCATTTACGGATCTCTTCTCGTTTCAAACAAACTTTATACTACCAATAGAAAGGTGAAAGTATAGGTATTGGACTTCTCTATTCATAAAACTGCTCTCACACACATCCAGCTTGGAAGGTTACCATTGCCGACTTAATGAAAATATTAACACCTCATATCCAAACTTATATGCAGTCATTGATAGATTAAAGAAACATTATGTGTTCAAACATGAACACGATGAAAAACTTGACAATAATACGAACAAGTCTCCATACAATAAAAAATTTATTTTTCGGAATCAACCAATTCCTGATTTAATGAAACGATATGGAAAACATTGTTTATCAATAGATGAATATTTTAATAACAATAGTAAAAAAATTTATTAATATTTTCTTGCCATTATCTTACTGAATTATTAAATTATATCCTCATTTCTGTTATAACAATGACTTTCTTTAAAACAAAAATTGTATTTAGTTTTCATCATAAAGTACTATTGAATAAAAAGCATTGATGAAGCAGCAAAAACTAATTAATTAGTCTTCTTTTTTCGATAAAACGACACTAAACCCTAATTGAAGTTTTAATTCAAAAGTTAACTAGTCTCCTTTTCAATGGTAACTGACTCTTAAAGCCAACTTCGACATATATTTATATATATACATTTCATGATGTATGAATCATAAGTAGTTTTGTATTTTTTTTTCGTTTCTATCATTATTTCTTTCTTCAAATATGTCACGAGTTTATTTTGCTATATCCATATCTATATATATGTATATATATTTGATTTAAATAGTTAAATCATTTTTCTATTTGTACTAGAATCGATCTATTCGAACTGAACAACCATAATGTCATCATCATTAACTTATTTTAATAAAGATACATTTCTTGATGGTACAGGTCGAGGTAAATTATCTCGACAAGTTAAATTTACATTAGAATCAAATATAGAAACACCATGTCCACCATCATTATCGATAAGTAAAGATAAAACTAGTAGAAAAAAACATCATCATATTCCTGAAATAGTTGCTATTGATGTAAAACTTCCGTTACCACCTAATATGGAACATACTAAACCTATATTTATACCATGTGATCAATTTCCATCTAATTATATATCTCCAACAAGTTTATCTATATTACATTGGTCAAAATATCACGGTCGAAATGTTTCATTTTATTTAAAAGAACTTGGTTATTTTTCAACAGCTGATCGTTCAGATGCAAATCGTTGTCGAGAAGATTTTCGTTATTTAAAACAACTTATTTATGATATTAATGATATAAGACAATTAAAACAAATGAAAATTGAATTTGATCTTAATATTGGTTCAGCTTATTTAAATCCAACTGAACCATCAACATCACTTGATGCTTTACTTTGGTGGATTAGTAAACATAAAAAAAGTTTATTAGATAATAAAGGACGGTATAGTATTTATTTGTGACTTCAAACAAAAACAATAAATTATAGTTATATTTTTTCTCTCTTATTCTTTAAAGATTTACATTTGATTTTGTTGCTTGGCGTGGAACAATAAGAAAAATTATGTCATCATTATTTAATAATGATACTGATTGGCGTATTGGTGTTATTCGTTATCGTGGTGCTTACTTTCTATATGTATTTCATACAGAAACAGAATTAAATATTGAATTTGGTCAAACACCTATGGAAAGACGAATGTGTTATTGGGGACATAAATTTGAAGATTATCTTTGTTCAGGTATGTTATATAAATATTAGTATAAGAATTTCTTTGACAGAAATTTTTCCTTAAAAAAAAACCACTTAGAACACAAAATTCTAAATTCAACAGACTATAGGTACACTTTTTCATAAAACAAAATATAATTGACGATAGAATTTGTATTAAAGTATATGTAATGAAAAATGAGTTTGATAAGGTTTATAGCAAAGTTTAACTTCGTTATCTTTAATATTCGTTAATTCTTGGTATGTTTTTCTTCGCTCATACAGACGGTCATATTATTATAAGTTGACAAAATTAATAATTGTAGATATGAATGTTTTATATTATAAAACAAGCAGTTGGTCATCAAAAATTGACTGAAAAACAGAGATAAAATTTAGGAGAATGATTATCGTTTCTTTACTGATACATCTCTATGCAGAAAATTTACTGAAGCCCTCCAATGATAAACTGTTGGATCTATTGATATAATACTTCTTACGTCTAAAGAAAAAGAATTTTCGATGATTGTTATTATCAGCTCTACCGAGTGTTAGAGTTATCTTGTGCCTAATAAGAGAACCACTTGAATTGAACGATGGTTTTTTTGAAGCCTATTGAGAATCATTTTATTGAATACTTAGTTCAGTTTTAGACACATACTGAAAAATCAAAAAACAAAATTTGTATGTGAAATTTGCTCATATAGGTGTCCGAGACCCGTAGAATATACTAAAGTTTTCAGTCGAAACGAATAGTATTTTGTTGAGATATCGAATTTCCACAAATGTAATCGTTTACCATAGGCATTTAGTGGAAATTTCAGAAGTTCAACAAAAGATTATTCTTCTCGGCTGAAACTTTCAGGATAGCCTATAGGTCATTACATGTATTCATGGACAATATTTTACTTTACTTTTTTTCCTGTTTACACCTAAACGTGCTTCGAGAATTTAGTAAAACGATCATAACGGAACTTCAAAGACCTATGGAGACAAAGCCTTTTATACTTTTGCTATTCTCACTAAGGCGTCCTTATAAGACCAATATGTGGGCAAACGGTAGGTATCGACTGAATTGGTCCCATCGTAAGCCAGATAGTTTCAATCACATAAAAAAGCATAACTTGCTCAAGTAAAATTTCATCACTTTTTGTGTCGAAAGCAAATAATAATTTATTATAACTTAAAATCATCGAAGCATAAATGAATGATTTATATATGAATTTGTTTTCTTTTTATTTGCTTAGAAACACCTCCATTATTTCCATCTCCGAAGAAACTTTTTTCACTCGTAAATTCAGCTACATTAGGTGTACATACAATTCTATATGGTAGTGAAATTGATGCATGTACACGAGACTCAATTCTTACTGATGATAATAATACAAAAACAACAAGTAATCTTAATAATGATATTGATTCAAGTAAAATACATAAGAAAAAACGAACATATGTTGAAATAAAAGTTGTTTATGCACAAAATATGCTTGAATTACATACAACAACGTAAGAAATAATGAAATAAATAATATGAGAATATTAATTCGATTGTATTTAGTGCTCGAAAATATGGAAAATGGTGGTCACAATGTTTTCTAACTGGCATTGAACAAATTCTATTAGGTTTTCGTGATGATTATGGAATTGTTCGTCAAATTCAACCATTACTTATTAAAGATATTGAAACTCGGGCTGTAAAATTTTATTTTTAATATAGATATATTTAAAAATTCTCAAATGAATATATTTTCTTTATAGCGTACATGGAGTTCAAGTTCGTTTTTAGCATTTCTCAATGAATTTTGTGCATTTGTTCGCAAGACGATAACAAAAGATTATTTCGAAGATGGAAAGTTAGTATCTGATAATTATAATGATTATTTAATCGGTGTTTTTGTTTTTTTTCTATTTAAGAATGGTCTATCTTTTCTATTTTTCTCCACAAGAGAAAAAAATTAAATGGCGTACTACAACTGAATCTACATATCAGTTTTTACCCGATTGGTTTACTTCACAAGATTTTTCATCATCAGAAGTAATATCACCATTGGCACATTAATAATGAACAGTATATTTTTTTGTCATCTGTTGTTTTGTTAGATGTTATTCTTTCTTTTTTTTCCCGTTGGTGTATTTCTCTTTATCTGAAGTCTATTTAAAAAAAAACTTTTGAAATAAAAACTAATTGACGAATATTTACTAATAGTTTTCAAATATACAGTTCAATCAAGAGGAATATAGAAAATGAAAATTACATATGCAAACAACACTTGACAATAAAACTAATATTAAATGAATTTCGACAGAAGATTACAGTTACAACCATTGTGGTCATGAAATTTTTCATTCATTCTAAATCATATTAAAGTCCTACATAAATAATTTTGTATTTTACAGCGAAATTCATATTATTCTGAAGACTAGAATCCTACAATTCAATCAGGTGTCGGACACTTCACTTAATCTGCTGTTTGAGTTCGCCTACAAACTGCTGTGATGATTTCGATTTGGAGCATGCAAAAAAATTGTTTCATCGGATTCGATTATAATTTCTTACGTTGGAACTGCATGCATCTCTGCAAGCACTCAATAGCTTCATGTTGTATGATTTTTTTTTCATTCGTACATCTATGCGTAAAGAAAGAAACAAACGTGCGTTGTAATTAACGATTTCAAGGATGAATAGTAATAATTCTTGTGTTTTTTTTCATTTTCTGAATGATCTCCAAGAAGCTAACTTTAAATTTTTACAAGTAAATTCTTTTTCTTTGTTCTTCAATATGAGTCTTATAATGTTTATTATAACCCATAAAAGACAAAATCATAACAAAAAATTAAAATGAATCAACACAAATAAAATTATATGTTGGATAAATCCGTCATAATAAATAATGTTCAAATAAATTTAATCTTTGATATTATTGATTAAAGCATCAACTTGTTCTTCAACACTATCAAAAATATTTGGTCGATGTGGTTTCCAACCTAATTTTCTAACTCTTTCAGCTTTTGAATTTGATTGACTACCTACTAAATACCAACTATATTTGCCCCAAAGACTACTTTCTACTTCATCATCTGGAAAACTTGTAACATCAGGTGATTTAGCAATACCTTTCTTGTATAAAACTTCACCAATTTTTTCTGATAGTTGTCGCCAACTATGTTTTCCATTTTCAGCAAAATAATAACCTTCTCGCCCTGTTGTTAGATATGAACTTGATTGTACATCGTGTTTAGCATCAGGACCATATGCAGCAATAAGTTGATCAAAAATAATAATATAAGCATCAGATAAATCAGCAATGTGAACATTATTCCATGTTGCTTGACCTGGTCCAATCATTTCGGCTTTATGTCGTTTTAAAGCTGCTCGAATAAGAACAGGAAGTTGTACAGAAGTACGATTGAATGGACCAGTACCGATACCATAAATAAGAGGTGGCAATATGATAACGGTTTTTAAAAGAGGATTTGCATCTGCTGAATTAATAATGAAAAGATCAATATTACGATGAGGTTGTTCATCAGCAAGACCATTAATTTGATCAGGATTAAGATCAGAATAGACTGTGTCTGAACCAGCTTTACCACGAACATCTTCTACAAGAACGCCTGTACCACTTGTATGAATATAAATTGCTGGCTTTCCTGTTTCTTTAGTTCGTTTATTTAAGCCAGAAATAATAGCTTTAGTTGATGGAAGATCATCAGCTGAATTAGAAGTATGAATGACAACATGAGATTCACTTGCAGCTTTTTCAATGACTTCGAACGAATCATTTGAACCGATTAGAGGTGTAACATTAAGTGATGATAATTTCTTAATTCTTTCATTATCACCACGAATAAGACCAGTAATATTAAAATTTGAAGCATTTGGATGTTGAAGGAGTGTAGTTAAAACACTTCCTCCTATATAACCAGTGGCACCAGTTAAAAAAATGTTGATTTTAGTAGAAGACATTAATTTAATACTTCAACAAACAATGATAAGTAAGATGAAAAGCAAAATCACGCACATGTATATATATATGTGTGTGTGTGCCTTGATGACAAAGCAAATTCAGAAATAGAAAAGAAACAAAATATACGACACTATCGATGACGTCGCAAATTCAAAGGAAAAGAATAGAACCAAAATGCAACGATATTGATGATGTAGTACACATCAGTGGTATTGAGTCGATCTTTTTTTAGATGTATTTTTATTTTGCTTTGAACTTGCAGTAGAAAGAAAAACTTTTTATAAATCGATATGTTAAATGATAAAATACCTCATGTCTCGATTCCTAAACGAGTGGTTGTTATTTTTTTCCTTATCTTTATTACATTTCTATTGTAATCTTTTAGACGCAGTTTTTGCTTCTTTTTTTTATGATACTTTCTACCAACTTTTATGTTTAGGTCTTCTACTTACGAGCGTAGACAAAATTCTAGCAAATTGTTTGGAAGTCTCTCTACTTGACTGATTATGTTTATTGATTATTATTTTTCAGAAGGAGCAAAATTTTTTTAACAAACTTGTATTAATAAGTTTATTAGATAATTGTCTTAATATGTATATTAAGTGTTTGAACAGAGTGTAAAAGTTATCAATATTGTTTTGATTCTATGCAAAAAATACTATTAGAACTCTTAACAATTTCGTCGAGACTTTTCAAGAATTTTCATTACTGTGCAATATTTAGTTGAAAAAGCTCGCTTATGAGTTACTGCGAAATAAATAAAAACTTTCGAAAAACTAAAAACAAAAAAGACAAATAATCAATTCATTATACAACTTTTCTAGTGTTATCCATATTGCGTTTTCAACAAAATTAAATTTTAATTATTTTTCGAGTCTATATGGATTTACAACTCACTATCAAATTATAACTGCTTTAGGCATTTTTCGTCTAATCCTCACTAGAGAGAACCAACATACATAAGATGCATGTTCATGTTATACTGATTATCATCGCAGAAAAAGACTAAAGAATATTTTCTCATGGAAGACATGTATTTACTAACAGAATTCATACAACGGATCTTTACACATAAAGATTACCAATGTGGAGAGGTGATCATCAAAACAAGCTTTGTTATAGTGTCTGCATACTATTGTTATAGACTTATGCAATTGAAGTCTGATTTTTTCAGTCTTAAGAAAATATTCCATGTCAACTTAATCGTTACTTAATCAATGTCATTCGAAAAAAAAAATAGTTCAACATACTTTCATCGATCTGAAAAAATATCGATTTGTATCGATTACTTATATTCTATGTGGGAAAATCTATTTTCATAGGCTAAACGAAGAATGGCTTTAAATTTACTAGATGATTAATGGATCCTCTAGGAGCAAATCTACTTGAATGGATTAAATATGAAATCAATAACTTAGGTTTTATAGTAAAAAAAAACTCGATCTTTATTGATGGAAGCCGAGACAGAAAAATTTCTGACAAAGTGGACTTAGCTTCCGTTTGAGGTCAAAAAGCAGGTATTTACGTCGCATATAGTATAGGATCGATTCATTTCTAGAGAAAGCTCAAAAATTTCTGGTGAGATTGAATCATCTTCTAGTTCTGCCACTAATATTCAACTTTTACCAAAGAAAACCAATTAAATTCATAAGTTTTTTATCAATTCGAAAACGATTGTTATCAAAAACTAATACGAAAGATTGAAATGCCATTGATTACTGTAATAAACTCTAATTACAATTCATTACAAAGCTCTTCAAACAACATCTCCTTTAGTTAATTTTGCTTAATAATGAATAGTATAACCTTTAACCGGTCCTGTTTGGTTTGCATCAGTTATAGTCGGTATTATTATCAAAATTGAATGCATTATAATCGGAATTAAGTAGAATAATCGATGAAGTCTTGATTTTTTTTCTTGATTTTCGGTTATAATCGATTCCTAATACATTAATGATCGAAAAATTGCGTGGTTTTAATAGATCTTGAATCAAACATGAATAGATTATAATTTCATTTTTTTGTTGAGAACTGCATGTAAAAAAGAATATTAATGGTTTTCTTTTCGAAAATCAATGATAATGCATTATATTCTTAATCAATACTCTGATTATTTTCTCCAAACTCGACTTTTATTCACTATCACCTAACACAATCTATTTAAATCTATGATTTCTTTGAATTTAATCTAAATATGCCATGCTTAATAGATTTTTTTTGTCACTATTGTCTGACAATCCATTTAACCTCATTGTTCGATCGCTTTTCTACATGATTATGTTGTAAAAACCATGCTCTGATTTAAAGAAAAAAGAAAGATATCGTTTCCGATATAGCGTTCTCTATGAAACTAGTTTTTTACTGGAAGCGAAAGTTGGCCATTGCAGAACGAATAGAATATTGCACAATAGTTATGCAATTACTATCAAAACTATTAAATCCATTAATAGAATAGCAAACAAAGAAAAGTATGTGCACATTCAATGGTATATTAAAAGAATATCCATGGATTTCGATTGATTCATTTCTTCAAACCAATTGTCACTTATCACAAGTTTTCTTTATTTCACACATGTAGCTAATCATATTTTAATTTTAAAATAAAATTTGAATTTTATTTTTCTTCATAGACATACAGATCATCTTCGTGGTTTAGATGAACCAACATTTGCTCAATATATAACAAATAATCGTTCAATTCGTATATATTGTTCCGAAGCATCAAGACATTTTCTTTCAATATTACCTGCATATAAACATCTATCACAATTCTATTCAGTTGTCAATGTTGATCAACCGTTTACTATAGAAAATCCTATGGATAAAAGTAATTCTGAAGATTCACAACAAAATTTTATTTTATACTCGTTTTCATTTCTTAGATATTTCAATAACAGTTACTTGCTTTGGTTCTGGTCATTGTCCTGGTTCATTAATGTTACTTTTTGAAGGTTGTCATGGTACAGTTTTATATACCGGTGATTTTCGTCTTTATTCTCATCAATCAAATCGTCATCGTATTATTTCATCAAAGAAACTTATTGATGCACTCTATATTGATATGACTTTTTTCGAACCATCTATTCGACAA